CTTTTGAGGATTTCGATGTTTATTTCGTATATTGTATAGGTATTTCCAAGGTTCTCTCTCGCGATGATCCTAGTCCTAAATTAGACCTCGGTTAATGGTCTTGTAAGTTTCTTTTTTTATTTTCCTTGGCACATGGTCGCCACCGTGCATATGTATAATATAACTCGCTAACGTAGAAGTGCCAAGATGTACATGCCGGATATATGTCACTGAAATAATAGGCTCGGAGATGTTGAATGCTCAACACGGTTATATCACCTATTAAACACAAGGACATAGACACCTGTATAATATCCTTGATGCATCTTCTCCATGACCTCATAAGCATCCAATCTAATATTATAAATATTACTGTCGAAATATTTCCGGGTAATTTTCCTTTTAGGCAATTTCCATATAAAACAAAGTCTAACGCCTTCGCCACCAGGTGGATCGACAAGTCGGGCCTGGAAGATTGGCATTGCGTATGCAGGAAAATACTTGCTAAAAATCGAGTTGAAATAGTTCAGTTGTTTAGGATGGTGTATACCCCCTATTCTCTCGCTAATCTAATCAAAATGATAATCAAAATGAAAGTAAATTACATCTAAACATAACTATCTCCATAAAAATATAGATCTTCATAAAATCTAACTAATCAAGACAACTCCCAAGGTCCAGACTTTGCACTATACTGGGTCTTCCTCACCATTTCACTTCTCTCCCTCTATCCTCTCTTTCTTCTGCCTCTACTTATATTCTAATTCTTCTGATGTTGAAACACTTATAATATTAAACCTATCTTCTCCGCCTTGACCGAACTCCCGTTATAATTGGCCCGGTGCCATCATGTCGTCCCCCGTCGAGGACCGAAAAACATATCTGGAAAAGGATAAGCGTAAGGACTCCGACAACTCTCCTACCTCCGACGATGGAACCTGTGTCACCGAGCCCGACACGGGTCGCAGTGCGGGTCACTTGAAGGTTGACACAAGTCATGTTGATGAAGATGAGCATCCGCCCATGCGCACCCCCTCCGCCCGTCGGGAACAGGCCACTCGTCTGGACGATGACTTGATGCTTTTACAAGCCGAGCGTATGACGTCGCGCTCGACCAGCGGACAGGATGATGAACACGATCGTAATTCTATCAATCGCTCCCGTTCGCGTCGCTCCGACGTCGTGGATGAGTTCGATGAAGCCACAAATCCTCTACACGAAAAGGCGGCAATTTACAAACCCCCCGAGAAACCAAACACTCAGATTGCTGTCTTTGTGAAGAAGCTGCATCAGTCGAGTTTCCTTGTGCGCTACTTGACCTACATCGCCCCCATTGTCCTCATCCTCTTGATCCCGTTGCTGGTCGGCGCTCTCAAGTATCCTAATGCCAATGTGGGTGGTGTAGAATTGATGTGGTTTTCCATTTGGTTGGAAATTGTCTGGTTGACTCTCTGGGCAGGACGGGTGAGTCCAATGAAACATTCCTCTTTCAAGAAACTTGGCTGATCAGTTTTGTCTTTTTTTTTGGTTAGCTTGTCGGCAAGTGTATGCCTCCAATCGTCGGTCTTTTTGCAAGTGTTTTTACCAATAACGCGAAGAAATGGCGTGACATGGCCAAACAGCTCGAGCTTCACGCGGCACTCTTTTTCTGGTGGCTCGGCGTGGAGATCTCCTTTCTGCCCACAATGAAAAACCATCATGTGGGTGGTGGTAAGGGGACCAAAGGTTGGGAAAATACGCTCAACAAAATCATCATTGTCATCTTCGTGTGGACGATCCTGAATTTCATCGAAAAGATCCTTATCCAGTTGATCGCCATCAGCTTTCATACGCGGACCTATGCCGACCGCATCGAAATCAACAAATTCCAGATAGGCAGTTTGACCAAGCTATACGAATGGTCTCGGTCCACTCTCGATGAGAAAGATGATGCCTTTGAGGAGAAGACCGAGGAACCGACTCCTGCCGGTGTCAAGACCCCGTTGCACTACGCCGGCGTGGCCCAGCGAAAGGCCAAGGGTGCCCTGAGCAGAGTTGGAAATCGCGTGGGCGATGTCGCAGGCGCAGTGGTGGCCGATGTCACTGGTCGCACGGCTACTCGCAGTACCGATGCCTATCAGGTCATTTTGGCGCTTCTGCGAACTACCGGAGGCTGTCAAGTGTTGGCGCGTCGTCTGTATCGCACCTTTGTGAGAGATGGCTTCGAGACGGTTTTCGGCGGTGACCTGAAAGCCGCATTTGAAGACGGCGAGGAAGCCGAAGCCGCCTTTGCCATGTTTGATCGCGACATGAATGGTGATATTTCCATGGAGGAATTGGAGGCCGTTTGCGTTGACATTGGCCGTGAGCGCAAGTCCATCACTGCATCTTTAAAGGATTTGGATTCAGTCGTCTCGAAATTGGATAGTGTATTCATGTTCTTCGTGTTTGTGATCGTGCTGATTGTGTTCTTGACGCTCATCTCGACCTCGGCCGCCGGTGTGCTCACCTCCGCGGGCTCTGCTATTCTGGCCCTCTCCTGGTTGTTCTCTGCTACGGCCCAGGAGTTCCTCCAGTCGCTTATCTTCGTCTTCGTCAAGCACCCCTTCGATGTTGGTGACCGAGTGACCATCTACGGTAATTCTGGTGATTCCGGTCTTGGTGATGATTACTTTGTGAAGGAAATCACTCTTCTTTACACCGAATTCAAGAAGATGCAAGGCCACGTGGTGCAGGCGCCAAACAGCTACCTCAATGGTCTCTTCGTCCTCAATCAACGCCGCTCAGGCGCACTTGCCGAGGCAGTGCCAATCATTATCAAGTATGGCACCACCATCGACCAACTCGACTCCCTGCGACAGCGTCTCTTGGAGTTTGTGCGCAGCGAGAAACGTGACTTCCAAAACAACATTCTTACTGAAATGCGTGCGGTCACGGAGAACTTCTCGCTTACGCTCAACATCGTCTTCTTTTACAAATCCAACTGGCAGAACGAGGGTCTACGTCTGCAGCGCCGCAACAAGTTCATCTGTATGCTCATGGTCGCTCTCCAGGAGATCGGCATCGAGGGCCCACGCATGAACCTCCAGGGTGCCAAGTTCGACATTCCCTTCCACGTCAACAATGGCGGCACACGCTCTGTCGAACGGCCCCCCCAAATCGACGCCGATGCCGAGGAGGTCCCGATCTCAGCAGAGTCCCACCACCTGCCAGAGAACACCGGAACCAGCAGCAGCAGTGCTGCCCGTCACCCATCGATTCTCCGCAAGGGTATGCACACTGCCAACGCCCGTGCCCGTGGCCCGTCTATCTCCCAGCGCAAGCACGTCGACTTCTCCTTGGGCATGTCCAACATGGCATCCAACGATATCATGGGAGATGTGTTTGAGGATCGTGGTGTGGTCGTCGAGGATGTCGTCCGTACCGCTAACCGCGAGGCCGCTGAGCGCCGCATCCAGGAAGAGAACGAGGACGAAGAGGAGCGCCGGAGCAGCCGCACATCTTCTTCCCGGTATCGTCGTCCCTCCAACCTGAGCGTTCCCTCCAATAACGAGACCGCCCGCCGGTCGGACGACGCCCACAGCTTCCGTAGTGGTCAGTCATCGCTCAGCCGTAACCGGTTCTTCCAACACCGTAGCAGTGTGAGTCGCGATCGGGACGACTTGATGGAGCAGGGCCGCTCTGCGGAGCCTACTCCACCTCCACCAGGCACAGTCTATGGTCTCAAGGAGCACCCCAATTGATTTGAGATGTGATCTATCTTCGATCCCTCTTGAGATCACATACCATCTTCACTGAACATACTCGAACTTTTTTTTCTTTCTCCTTTTTCATACATGATGCACGGTGTCTCGACAGAACAGTTGTCTTTCTACCATACATATATCCCCATATCGGCCCCCAAGCTCTTTATTATTTGGCCTATTTATCATATATAACATTTAGGTCGAGCCTTGGTGATTCGACCAATAAAAAACGTTTCGTTTCTGTTTAGAATGTCACCCGCCGCCTAAGATTTTCCCACAACATTGGGAATTGAATGTATAGAACCTTGTCATGTTTCCAAAATCTCTTTTAGACTTCTGGGATATCCTTTCAGGTACTCTTGTAGACATTTAGATGACTCATGTACCCCCATCCTAACCCCATCATCTCCACCCACTATAAATTCCATCACCATGCCACCAGACCATCACATCCCATCTCAACAAATTGTCAGATTTTACCCAGCTCATCTCTGATACGACTTACTTATACACGTCCACCGGGTGGACATGATCGTACTGAGACGGTCTAATTCGGGTTTCGAGATTCCCAACTTTCGAGAGTTTGCCGAGACAGACACTTAACTATGCGACTTGAGCAGTTAACGAACACAAGAAGTCCCGCAGTCCAGAAGCGACGAGGCCATTTCAAAGAATTATGGGATAATTGGAACACGAAAGGGTAATATCCCAACCTTCCGGTGCCGAACGATGTCTTTGATTTTGTGTCAACAGTTGCGTATGTCACGGACCCCAAAACGGCCCATATGAAGACCGTTTCACAGTACGGGACCAAGGAGTTCGCGTTCTATGAGTGGTATCACTGCGAGTATCTTCTACACTCTAATCTTTGGCCAAGGTCGAAAATTCCATAACATCTGCCACATGAAATCCTTGAAGGCTCAAGCTAACACCTTTAAGATTGCATTACGTACTTTTGGGATACTGCGGGAGTGGTGAGACATCACTTATCCTGTTCCTACAAATGATTGATATACAAATGGCACCATCCAAGGACCGATTTAACAGCTTTTCAATGCACTGGCGTCCAATCTCGCATATGTTTCATTCCACACAAACCATTCCTCATATCTGGGACCCTGGGGATTCAACCTAGACCGCGGTTCCGCCGCCACCGACCACATTTCAGATGCATGTCTCATACCCGTGCTTGGAACAGCGGGACTGTGGAAAAGGCTGTCATCAGCGGGGAGGGCTCAATCAGCAGATTTCAACATCAGATTCGTCACTGGGCGGGCGCCAGCTTCTTACCCTGGCATGTGGGTTGATGAAAGGCTCAATCACGGTATTAGAACCAGGTAAGCCGCTATATCCGACTATCTCATAGCCGGTATTGTTGACCAACACCCTATCCTAGTGTGGACCAGGGATCGGAAACCCTGATGCAAGCCATAATCGAGCGTGAGTTTGCATCTCACACCGTCTCCTTTGTGTGTCGCTTGCGGTATATCGAGCGATTTGACCATGTCGCCTCGATGAAGCAGAGTCAGGTTGTGGAATGGGACGTCAGAGTTACCATGTGATCCAAGTTTTGAGACTTCTATCTTTCTAGGCAAGTTGAACGACGAGATTTTCATGCGGCGTGTTGCATAGTATATAAACGTTTCATTATGGCAGTGTTCAATCATAATATGGGATCTTGAGACCGATGCAACGCTTTGGGGACATTAGAAGTCCATATTAGTTACTAGAATTCCGCATGTATTGAGACACGTTGGGTCCCAGAATGGTCATTGTAAGTTCTGCGTTGCTTCCACGTCAAAGAAACCAGCCTGCTTTTGTGCCCTCCGAAACTTCTTACGCACCTCCCTCCTCTACCTCTCTCCATCCTCATCCTCATTTTTATCTTAATACGAATTTCCAATACAATCCACCATGCGAGGCGAGGTACGTATGCTCTACCATTCTGTGGGCTATCGTGTTTACGGCGTCGACGTGTCTATTCGCTCCCGCCCCTTTGGCTCTCATCTACTCAATACCTAAAACCAAATCAAGAGAACTAACACTGATACTGATTTGAATCTACTAGATCTGTCATTTACACATCGGCCAGGCTGGCACACAGCTTGGTAACGCTGCCTGGGAACTGCACGTCTCTTCATTGCCTAGTATCTTCGAGAACTCTGCTGATCTAGATGTAACGCAGGTATCTACTTGAACACGGTCTGAAACCCGATGGATTTATCGACCCCGATAGTACCGATGAGGCTGCTAAAAGCGGATCCTATGAGACTTTCTTTACTGAAACTTCCGGCGGCAAATATGTGCCCCGTTCCATCTACGTGGATCTTGACCCATCGGTATGTGATGGACTACGAAATCGCGAGAAGTCTCACCAGCTAAATCATTATGGTAGCCAATCGATGAGATTCGCACCGGCACTTACCGTGATCTTTTCCGTCCCCAGCAGCTGATCAGTGGGAAGGAAGATGCTGCAAACAACTGTATGAGCCATTCAACTTGCGAATAGAAGATGCACGGGGAGCTAACATGTGGCAGATGCTCGGGGCCATTACACTGTCGGAAGGGAGCTTTCCGCAGACGTGATCGAGAGCGTTCGTTATGTGGTTGGTACGATTCTGCTAAGTTGAGCCTCAACCCTGATGAGTCCCAGCTAATATCTTCATAGAGAACTGCCAGTCGCTCCAGGGCTTCTTGATTTTCCACTCCTTTGGTGGTGGCACAGGGTCTGGGTTTGGTTCACTGTTGTTGGATCATCTGACCAGCATGTATGGGCGCAAGTCCAAGCTGGAATTCTCAATCTACCCTTCTCCACGTACCTCAACTGCCGTGGTAGAGCCCTACAACGCCGTCCTCTCAACCCACAGCACTATTGAGAACTCCGACTGCACCTTCCTAGTTGACAATGACGCCGTGTACGACATCTGCCGACGCAACCTGGATATTCCTCGTCCTGGATATGAGCACCTGAACCGCCTTATTGCTCAGGTAGTGAGCTCCATCACATCCAGCTTGCGGTTTGATGGTGCACTCAACGTCGACTTGGCCGAGTTCCAGACCAACCTTGTCCCATACCCGCGTATCCATTATCCCTTGATTTCATATGCTCCGGTGATCAGTAGCCAACGCAGCTCGCACGAGAGTTTCAAGATCCAGGATCTCACTTTCCAATGTGTGTGAATACAGTTCCAAAGGGGTGTGACTTTCTTCTAACTCGGCATAGGCTTTGAACCCAACAATCAGATGGTGAACTGCGATCCACGAAAGGGCAAGTACATGGCTGTGGCTTTGCTCTACAAGGGTGACGTTGTACCCCATGACTGCACGATGGCTGTGCATGCTCTCAAGACTAGGGGGACCTTCAGTTTGGTTGAGTGGTGTCCCACCGGATTTAAGCTGGGAATCAACTACCAAAAGCCTGTGCGTCGTCCTAACGATGAACTTGCGCCTGTCGGCCGTTCGGTTAGTATGTTGTCCAATACCACCGCCATTGCTGAGGCGTGGAGTCGTCTCGATCACAATTTCGACCTTATGTACTCCAAGCGTGCATTCGTCCACTGGTATGTTGGTGAAGGCATGGAGGAAGGCGAATTCTCCGAAGCCCGCGAGGATCTCGCGGCACTTGAGAAAGATTACGAAGAGGTGGCCGAGGACAGCGCCCCCGAAGGTGTTGAGTACTGACTTCTGAACTTGTCTTGTTGCTCCTTCCAGCAAACTTGACATGACTCTTGATCCGTCCAAGCATCTGCCGCACTGTTTTCCTGTAATGCCTTTCCTCCTTTCATGCTCGTCTAGGGATTTGTGTATTATACCAACCATGTGCCGGATTTATTGATCAATCGAGGTGGGGGACGGAAAAAAGTTATCAAAACCAAAAAAATCAAATTAACAAAATCAAATCAAATCTATGAGTATTATTTGACTTTCCACCTTTATTCTATGATGAACTCTTCAACCCTTAAGTGATAACGCCGTCAAATGCTCCATGCAAGATTATTATTGGTGATACAAGTTGAACATCCACTTCAACTGTCAGCTCCTACATTGAGCTCCTGAAGGACCTTCAATGCGTGCTCATAGGTCCACATTGTCACCGCACTTGCAGGTGCTGCCTTGAGCAAACTGACCGTCAATCCGCGGTATAAACCACGCACACCCTGGGTGCGGAAAATTAGGGCAATACTTTGGAGAACGCCCTTGTACTCCGGGATATTGCGATGAATGTAGCGTGTCCTTGTTGGGCCCTGTACCTGCAAGCGCTTACGCACTAGGTCAAGCGGGAATACACCCGTCTTAGCTAGTACACTGGCCACAACACCGGCGGCGGCATCCCCTGTACCGAACGGTAGAGCATCCCAGGTCATGACTGGTCGAACCGCCTCGTATGTGGTGAAAAAAAGTCCCATGTATGGCACAATTTGCGCCACAGCGGCAGAACATCCCCGGTAGAATCCTGGTACGCCCTCATGTCGAGCGATCTCCACAATTGAGGCGCGTAGCGACCCATACACACGGTCCGGTCCTTGTGCAGCGAACCGCGTGCGGAGAAGATCAAGAGGGTATGTTATCCCCGTGGCACATCCGCCTGCCACTGCACCCGAGAGGAAGGATTCAACGGGTTGGGGGAGTCGGTAGGAGCCGAGTTGAGCGAGGGCTTGTGTTGTTCCTCGATACGCGGTGAATTGCATGGCGCCGTAGCAGACATACATCATTTCGGCGGGAATGTTGCCCTTCCAGAGGCCCTGTGGGGAGAAGCTTGCGTTAGGATATTGACATTGACACTGACATCGAGAAGCAAGGTGATCTTTTCAACGTACTGTGATTCCCTCTTGCTTCATAATTGTCCGCATGGTGGACAATGTTCCCTTATAAACAGGCCCATTGACACTCTGATGGGAGGCAGGGTCTGACAACGAATGGATTTGTAACTGCAACCTGATCTTTACGACGTCCAGCGGCGCAATGCAGAACCGTGATATCAGACCTGCAATTCCGCCGGCCAACACGACCTGCCGCTTGGTGCCTTCATCTTTGAGGTGTTCGCCCCCAGCCGACATGAGTTGAGAGTGCTTTCTCTTACAGACTGGAGATGTCTGTATCGATGTGTTATAAGGGAATTGAAGCATGAAGATCCATGTTGATTTCGTTGAGTTCTTGGAATGTGAAAAACAAAACAACGTCAATTGGCCATTTACGTAAGTTCCGGGCACCGCCCGGGCGATGTCATCGATGCTAGAAGGAATGACACTTCTGCCTGAGGTAAAAATTGTTGCCTAAGGGGATTTTATTGCCTGAGGCATTCAACGATCCGTCCACGGGAAGCCGAGGTAATTATAGTTCCACTCCATTTGTCCCGGGTGCTCAAGGTAGATTTTCCCCTCCATCTCCCTTTTTCACTGGTCATCTCTTCTTGACTTGTTCAAAGGTCCTTCATGCATCGTCTGCGAAGTTCAGTTACCCTCTGGCAAGTGCCACGAGCCTTGTCATGCTCAACCCCACGCCGTAACTTGATAGCTGCCTCTAGTAGGTTCAACAGTTCTGTACAGTCAGACTCTGACGGCAAATTGGATCATGTTGCCCCAAAAATTGAAAGTCAACATCCGATACCACAAGAATCCGGTAACTTCAGGGGCGATGTGCAAAACTCCACCCCTAAAGTGGTTGGAAGAAACAACCTCGCGGATGGCGTCCTTCAAAAAGTGGGCAAAAAAGGGTCGGTCTGGGCTGGAAAAGAGGAATTGTACTTGCATATGGACAAAGGTACAACAATCAAACTGCCATATACTTACCTGCGCGATTCATGCCAGTGTGGAGTGTGCAAGGATCAACACTCGAAGCAGCGCTCGTTCCGCACAAGTGACATTCCCAAGGACATTTCTCCGACCTGGGTCAATTGGGATGGAAAGAAGCTTTTAATCCGGTGGGCCAAGGATATTGGGGAGTCTCAGACGACGCATGAATCAACCTGGGACCGTGACTTTCTAAAACGGCCCATTTTCAACACTCATCGTCAGCACTCAAACCAGAACAGCAAACCGATCATATGGGGACGGGCCCAAATGGACAGAAGTCAACATTGGGTATCTTACTCGGACTATATGGCCGATGATTCCAAATTTGCCACAGCGATGCACCAGTTGCAGCGACTGGGCCTTATTTTTGTGAAGGATATTCCAGACTCACGATCGATGGTTGAAGCTATTGCAACACGGATGGGACCACTACGAAACACCTTCTACGGATCAACGTTCGACGTCCGCACTGTTCCGCAGGCGACAAATGTCGCATATACAAACCAATTCCTTGGATTCCACATGGATTTGATGTATATGAACGAGCCACCGGGATACCAGCTCCTCCACTGTTTGGAGAACTCATGTTCGGGGGGCGAATCAATGTTCGCAGACACATTTTCGACTGCGAAGCTCATGAGTGAGAGATACCCAGAAGATTATAAAGTGCTTTGCGAGCAGCGGTTGGGGTACGAGTATAGGCACGAGGAACACATCTATTACAATGAACGACCTGTCTTTGAGCATGACTCGAACACAGACGACCTCCGCCATGTCAATTACTCGCCCCCCTTCCAGTCTCCCCTCCCACCACGGGATGGAAGAGACTACGATGCTAGGTCTGTGAACAAACTACGAGACGCCCTTGCGACTTTCACTTCAATTATTGATAATCCGAAACACACCTTTGAGCTGAAGCTCAATCCGGGTGAGTGTGTCATCTTTGATAACAGAAGAGTCGTCCATGCCCGCCGCCAATTCAATGCCAGCACAGGATCTCGCTGGTTAGCAGGCGCGTATGTCGACACGGATGCTCTGCTATCCAGGTTCGCCGTCTGTAGGCATAAGCATCCACATGTTTGGACAAAAAAGGCCAAGAAGGACCTGGCAGCCAACAACACAGACAATCACCAGGAAAGAAGCGAATCATCAGAAGAAGCAAGAAGCTAAGAAAATGGCCGAAGAAGAACAGAGAAAGTCAGATTCACGAGAACAACACAGAAGGTACAGCACAAGGATAAGCCAGTTCAAAGGATTAAGGCAATTAATCCAATATTTGAATTGTGCTCAAGATCCAGCACAATTTTCTTCATTCTAGCACTTGATTGTATATACGAATGTGAAATAATGTTCATCTAGAGCGTTGTACATATGTAGAACCATACGTTGTAAATATAATGAATTCGTATTCTGAAACCTGAGCGCAGCTTTGGTGCAATCAATCAACATAGTTATTGGGCTACAAGGCAGATCAAACTGCCAGTGCGAGCTTCTCAAGAGGATGTGTTGAATCCGTCATGGTCAACAGGAATGATCTGTGACAATGGATTGGTTTGATTCGATGCTGCTTATCTCAATTTATAGCAAGAGTGTGTCCCGCAACAATGCAAAGGATATGATCCATATGATCAGACGTGCATATAAGCCGTATCAAGACAAAAACGTTTATCATTATGTTAGACTTTTAGCATCTATCCCCAGAGACAGGGGGGTCATGGGTATCGTGCAACGAGTAACCAACCACTCAAGCAGCGGTGGGCTTGCTGACTGAGTGATCAGTGAGGAAATCGGGGTCGTTGTTGATTTCCTCGCGGACCTGTACCGTTGAGTTAATAATCGAATCAGATGGACAAAGTAGGGGAGAGCACGTACAATATCCAAGCCACCGACCAATTCTCCGTTCACCCACAATTGAGGGAAAGTAGGCCACTCGGCGTACTCCTTCAGACCCTGGCGCACATCCTCATCCGCCAAGATGTTGAAGAATCCGTACTTAACACTTCGCTCGCGCAAAATGCCAACCAGCTGCCGACTGAATCCGCACTGTGGGCTGCTCGGGGTTCCTTTCATGAACAGCATGACAGAAGCTGCCTTGACCAGTTGTTCGAGGCGGGCAAAGAGTGCCTCCCGGGATTGTTCGGGTGTCAGGGCAGGGGCAGACGCGACGGCGGTTGCGTTCGCCGCATCAGCGGAAGGCGGCTCAGAAGCGGCAACGGGAGCCTGAGTAGCCGTGAGGGGACCATCCTCACGAGGAACAGCAGACAGCGGCGGGGGGATGTTAGCCTTCACACCGTCCATCGGACCGACGGCACCTGCGACATTTCCGCGGCCAGCGTGGCGCTCGACAGCGTCACGAACCTTCACGGCATCACTTCCACTGATTGATTCCAAAATCTGGCCGCTACGTAGGCACACGACGAAGGGCACGGCAGAAACGTCATATTCCTCCGAAATATCAGGTAGCTCCTCGGCGTTGATGCTGACAAACGAGATGGTAGGCGGGGCAGTGGCGGGGTACTGCGAAGCGAGGGCTGAAAGCACTGCGCCCATCTGGGCGCATGGGGCAGCCCATGGAGTGTGGAAGTATAGGACGACCAATGCAGAAGGTGACAGGGAAGAGAGATGCGACGAGAAGTCGGCCTCAGATGTGATTTCGGTGAGTGTCGACATAGTGGAGTGTGTGTGAAAGGGGGATGTAACAGATGGCAAAGGCCGGAAGCGATGAGAGGTATTACTGGAAGATAAGGTCAAACAAGTATGAAAGTGAGGCCAAAATTGTGAAGCGAAGGAGACGTGTCAGAGGAATGGCGTGATGGATACCAAAAACAAGCCCCCCTGCACGGCGATCCCAGATTTACCGGTTATCAGATCGTTCGGCGTCTCTGGCGTCTCTTGCATGCCGTATGCAAACCGGAAAAGGTGTTTGCCGGCAAGTTATCTCCACATCCCACGTGATCGCAATCTTTCCTGGCACGTGACCTTATCGCGTATCATCATGAATTTCCATGCGAGTTCAGCGAGGAACCTGCAAATCCGAACATTGAAGACAATATGGGAAGAGATAGGAAGAGAAAGCTCAGCTCGGATGACCCAGTTGGTCAACCCACGCCTCAAGGATTCGGCGTGGCCGATACCTTGTCCCGTCTGCAGAGCGATAACCCGAGCAGCGAAGGTTCGAATGGCAGCCATGCGTCAAAGAAGCGCAAAAGAGTTGATGGCGAGAAAGTCAAATACCCAGATCTTACATATGCCGATGGGAAATTACAGGCACCTATCCGAATCGCCGATCTCCAGGGATTGCTGCTCTATTGCTTCGCTGATGGCATCGCGCCCCAATGGATCTCCATGAAGCATTCCGGTCATGTGCGCAAGGTGGTTGTACTGATGGTACCTGGCCTAGAAATGGGCATGTTTGATGGTACAATCTCCGTGCAGCGAAACCCAGCGACTGGAGAGCAGGAGACTCAGGAATCCAAGTCGAATTCACCTGGAGCCACCGAGGAGGAACCCAAAGATGAACACGCTGCCGATTACGAACGATGGAAACAGGGCCTCCCATTACCAGACCGGTCGCATCGCTTCAATCCTCGATCTCTCGCGCGCGAAAACCTCCCTGAACCACTTCAGCCACTGGCCGGCATGTTCCCTCACATCTGGCCCGTCAAGGCGCCAGGGGACAACAAATACAACAAGGTCCATTCACCACTGCAGGCCATTCTCATGTCCTCACCCCCGAAGACCAAAAGTGATGACTCCCATAAAGGCGCACGGCCCGCAAAAGTTGAGAAAGGCTTCGTTCCGAAACGAACACCAATCACAACTTTCGTCACCTCACGCGAGGACCTCCTGGAAAATGACTATATTTTACATCCTGTTTTCTTCACCTCCGATGACGAAAAATCCTCCCAGATGGAGGTTCGTCAACGAGCCGGGCAATCGACGGAAGATGGATGGGTGGATACTCGAGTTCCAACCCTGGAATCTGCTGAACCACCTGATGCCGAAATTGAAAGTGGCAGCGTCACTGTTGGTCGAGATGTTTTTGCTCTCGATTGTGAGATGTGTATCACCGAAGGGGGTCAGTCCGAACTCACGCGCATCAGCATGGTTGGGTGGGATGGCGAAGTCGTCTTGGATGAACTGGTGAAACCAGCACGGCCGGTAATCAACTATCTGACACGTTACTCTGGGATCACTCCAGAGATGCTCGAACCGGTCACCACGACCCTTGGTGATATTCAGCAACGACTCCTGACTCTTCTTACGCCGCGTGCGATCCTCGTGGGACACTCCCTCAATTCCGACCTTACAGCACTCAAACTTGTCCACCCTTTCATTGTCGACACAAGCATCATCTACCCACACCCGCGCGGCCCGCCACTCAAATGCAGCCTGAAATGGCTCACCCAGAAATACCAAAACAAGCAGATTCAAAATGGAATGGCCGGGCATGACTCCATTGAGGATGCCCGTGCTGTTCTTGAACTTGTGAAGTTGAAGTGCGAGAAAGGAGAGCGATGGGGCACAAGTGAGGTTTCCAACGAGAGCATCTTCCGTCGGCTATCGCGCTCTACTCGACCGAGCTATGTCCCTCGCCCTGGCGAAGAACGAACAGGAGCCGTGGTTGACTGGGGCAACCCGGAACGTGGGTTTGGTGCCCAGGCAACTGTCTCGATTGGATGCCGCGATGATGACGCAGTCGTCAGCGGTGTCTCAGCGGTGATCAACGGGGACGAGTCCAATCCCTCTATCCCAGCAGGCGGTGTTGACTTTGCCTGGGCTCGCATTCGTGATCTTGAATACCTTCGTGGTTGGTGCAGCCGTCTTCCCGATCCCAACAACGCCAACGAATCCACAACCCTTTTCCCTCCTCCTGAAGAAACCACTCCGACCACCGGCAAAGGGGATTCCACAGATCTTCCCCAGCCTGACGTCTTGGCTGACACTGTCACCCGGACCGTCTCTAACATCTCGCGCATTTACGACTCTCTCCCTCCTTGCACCCTTTTCATGGTATATTCTGGCACAGGCGATCCACGTGAAGTGGGCCGTTTACAGTCACTCCACAAGAAGTACCGCGAGGAGTTCAAGTCTGGCAAGCCATGGGATGAGCTGACATACAAATGGACCGATGTTGAGGAACAGGCTCTGAAGAAGGCCTGTGAGCGTGCTCGCGAAGGTTGCGGTTTCATGTGTGTCAAATGATTTACTTGAAACTAACTATGGCCATACTTCCAATGTTTTACAAGCCAAGATGATTATTCTTGGGTGGAAAACGGGATATGTAAAACCAGCTGCAAAAAGAGCAATTGATAAAATCTAAACTTCATTCCTATGTCATGTCCCAATGTAACTTGAAGTTAAAAGTCATATCACTTTCATATATAAGCTGTTAATTGCCTCGTATACTCCGTATGGATAGAATATGGTGACCCACTAGATATGGTGGGGCGGAAGGAGATTTCTCCCGACACCCAACTGAGACCAACCTATCGCTCGCGCAATGAATCCCTTCTCACGGGCAAGTGCAGCCTGGCACCCCGTTGGCCTTGCGTCCGACTTCCCAAGCATCGAAGATGACGCCCGGATCGTGCCAAGATGCAAGGCTTTCAATATTCCCAGAACAAACGGCGCCATGGAGCAAGTCGAAGACATTGACCTACCAGGAGAACTGAAGGATCAAGTCCTGGTCTTCAATTACAAGGGAAAATACCATGCCATTGATCATGTAAGTCCAAGACGTCTTCTAATCGGAAGGATTGAGCTCATTCTTTCCAGCAATGCCCCCACTCGTCATTCCCACTTTCGCGGGGCAACCTCTTTGATATTGAAGACTTTGGCGTCGTGCTCAGCGCGGGTCTCACATGTCCCAAACATGGTTGGTCATTTGATATATTCTCTGGACGCGCCGATCGTGGTAACTACCAACTCAAGGTGTGGGAAGTGCAGCTACGTGACTCATCAGCACCTGGGAGTACGGACCAAGAGGTTTGGGTGAGACGGAAGCAAAGAATCGGTTAACACTGGCCACTCCTTTCTGAAGAATTATCATAAGAAGTGCAGCAGGGCTGAGTTGACCTGAGTAAGGTCCCAGCTACAGCTCGACGCCACTGTCTCTCACCGACACGGATCTTGGAACTGGCCCCCAACTACGCAGATCTCTCTCAAGTGATTAGGGTATTCAAGCTACTAGTATCTTGTTTATTCAACTATCCATATTGAAATATTCACATGGTTGGGGTGTCGATGCATGATTGGGATTTTGGCTCAAATATGACGCATATATCAACTGTATCACGCTTCGTCGGTTTTGCTCTTTCGAGAAGATGAGAAGCTCGAAGTCCTTATGCGGGAGAAAGCTGCAAATATCATGTCAGATGGGAGAAGGGGCCAACGAGCTTGAAGCTGGATATGGCATTTTATTTGTGTGGTCGTATGAGTTGAAATGTCTGCCTGTTTGATTAGGCCAAGGAGGTTTTGGTTCGAGACATATTTCAAAGTCATGGATATAAGAAGTTCAAGTTTAATATTTCCTAAGATAATATGAATTCAATCTAATTCTCTGGTTGTTTTTTAAGTATCGAACATATAAACAGAGCAAGCTTGAGTGCAGGATCCTGGCCTCAGGCCACGCAGGTCGGGAGCTTCCAAGTTCCCATATATATCTCCCATCTCTTTTTACTCTCTCTCCATTAGATATCAAATACCCTATATTCTTGCTACCACCGAGAAACATACAGATATCTTTTTTTTTCTTTCAGCGCGACATTTTCTGTTTTTCTCTATTTTTCTCAATAAAGCCAAAGTCAGCATTGCCCCGCTTCTCCTTCTCAGCTGCACCTAAAGTGAACGTGAATTTTGATTTCTAGGAGAGTTGTCAAGCGTGAAGTGATCTCTGAACAATGGAAGCTATTGGGGCAGCTTCTGCCATCCTTGCAATTGCATCAGCTGGAGTACAATGCTCCGTGAAGCTTGTGACTTTCGCAGGACAGGTCAAGACAGCGCCAGAGCAGATAAACATGGTCGCTGAAGATGTGTCACTGAATGCCAGTATTTTACAGCAACTGGGCGAATTGGCAAAGGAAAATGTAGGCATCGAACCATCGGCGTCAGACGACAAAGATGACAATGGCAACAATACCAATGTGAAATCGGTCTCTATCACGACATCAAAACAGAGTATCTTCAATACAGCCGGGCTGGAAACGGTTACGCATATAGCGAAAAAATGCAAAGAGATCTTCGAGTCCCTGGACGAGAGTTTACGCACAGCCAGCAAACAGCTCCATGCAAAACCCCGGATATTGGGCAAAGTCAAGCTCAGTCGCGCGGAGAGGTTCAAATGGCCATTCCTACTTCCGGAGATTGATACGATGCGGAACGAACTCGGAAATGTCAAGGGGAATTTGATGTTGATACTACAAATAGCGATGTTGGCTTATTCCAGAAGAATGGTGGGAGGGTGAGTCACTCATACTTTTCTTCCATAGTTTGAGGTCTGCTGCTAATGTCGGCAGATATGGTGAAAGTCAGCGTACCACAGCAATTGTGACCTACTCCAGAGAGGATCAGGAGTTGCTAGTTCGATCTATTGTTGCAGCGCAGAAAGTGCAGGAAACTTCAAAAGCTTCCAATGTTGGATCATTCAAAAAAGAGCGACCCATGTTCTCCCAACTATCCCCCTCGAACCAAGCCTCGGACGTGGATTCTGGACTGACTGGCACACCAGTGAGTGACCGACAGTAAGTGGATCTTGTCGTTATCGGTTTACTCAACTAAATTAACGCTCTTGGAGCAGGGAGACAGACCCCAACCCAGAGAACAATATCCACGATGAATCATCTAGGTATGTATGCTCCTAGAGACTCTTTGAAACAAGACCCTGACTCAAAGTAAGTGACAGTGGATGTGACTTCAGCGAAAGGCAAGACCACGTCTGACGGAATGATACAGAGACATTCTAAGATGTATTTTTTAGGATACCAATTTCCAGACAACCATCACCCTCGCAATCACAACTATTTGCTCCACCGCCATCACGTATCTTCAGCGTCAAGCTCATCTCTCCGAGAGCGTCCATCACAAACCAACAAATCCACATCACCTATGACACCCGCATCATCAAACTCCCAAATTCGACGGTCGAATCCCAGCTCCAAGAGTGGATGGCAGCCTTGGACACCACACTGCTGGACCAGCTGGCTGCTCTGAATAGCAATGAGCTTGAAGCGCTAGATGCGGCGAGTGATGACAGCGACCGGCCCAATCTGCAAGAAGAGAGGCTGGAGTGGATCCGGTTCAGCGGCTACCGTACTCTGATCCAGGGCATTGAACATATTAAGGCCAGAACACTTACTGTGATCATGAGCGGGGTGCCTCAGCCGACTCGACGGCCCGAAAACAAAGAAAAGAAAGAAGAGACACGCATAACGTGGACTAGGGTATGGAAAAACAAGCTCTACCCAGTATCTCGACCGCTAACAAAACTGGAAACAAGGTTCATCGAGATTATATCCTTCCGAAAACACTCGAAGCATTTGGGTTGCCGTGGGATTGGGATGAGGTAAGGGCAGAACTATCGTATGCTTCTACTTTCCATTTCAACACTGACTCTCAAAGGATGATACCAACTTCCTCATCATCAAGAAATGGATCGCCGATGATATCCAAGAATTACTTTTTGCTCATACCCGACGGTTACAACAGGATCCTGTTGAAATAGCAGTACAGGCCTCATCCACTTATCGGCAGAAAGATAAAATGTTTCTCGTCCGCAAACGCTCGCCTTCAAGGCGAGTTAGGCTTTTCGACCCCGAGGAGCAATTTGAGACCATCCTTGATCGAAAAAAGGCAAATAGAGGAAATGAAGAGAAGAACAAAGCGATGGACGAGATGAAAGAGAAAGATCAACATGAACACGAAACAGATGACGGCGAGTATGATGGGGCATCGGAAAGCGATGATGCAGAAGGCATTGTTGATGCTCTATTGGCCAGATATACTGTGTGATCTTACCGATCGAAGCTACCTGCAGTCGTGTGATTGTATACGAACTAGGGCTGTTTGGTTGTATCGACCACATTCCTAGTTGCCCCTTCACGGGGGCGAATAACCATCTCCTTTTTCAATTCTCAGAACACTTGGCTTGGAAGCAGACTCTGTATCCAGTGTACTGGCCTCGACCTCGGTGTGTTGTCCAGCTGGTACATGATGCATCTGGATTTCATATTGCTTTACTTTCATCCATTATCATATATTTTGTTTCATTGTTTTACTCTTTCTTGTTTATATTTTCATTCGTATTCTTTGCAATCGTCAGAATAATGTTTTGACATTCCACATGGAGCACTGACTAACCCTACTTCAGATAGATCGAACTTCCACCCAGTTGGCACTGCGAGCATGCTACCTCGGGATACAGACGGTGTTGTTAACTCCCAGCTTACGGCTTACGGTACTCAAATTGTACGAGTAATTGACGTTTCTGTTATACCCTTCCAAATTTGTGGCCACTTGATGTGCACTCTTTATGCTGTGGCTGAGAAAATGTCCGACCAGATTAAGAAGTGATATATATAAGTGAACCACACGAAACGTAACAAGGAGGACGATCGAAATTGTGTGGTTGCCGACAGCACTCCCTTGACCAAATTTCTTTTAAAAAACTTTGGTCTTAGTGCTCGTTGGTGTTGATGCCTCCATTAGCTATTTAAAATTACGCATCTCCTGGTTGGAGACAAAATACTCCTTGATACTGATTTACCATCATGAACACCTTCTGCTGACATGCGGCTTTGCATATTTGGGCTTAGGGCTTGTTACATCTACTGGCTGGGAGAGAGGTAAAAGGAAGGGATTTTGATGGATCAATTTAGGAAAAGGCATGGTGTTTATACCATAAGGCTAGGAAAGCATGGCTCAGTCTGCTAACAAGTAATGGGATAGGATCATTCAACAAGTCTTAAATCCCCCTTGCATCCAGGGCACTTCGCAATGTCTTTTGGAAACCAAAGACATGTTCCGGCCCTAGCATAGTGTAATGGGCACCCCCAACGTCGTGGAAGTTTGGCGATGACCGCGAGAAATTCTTCCACTGACTCAAATGCTCATTCAGCCATTGGGCCTTTGATGAAGCCGCCACAGCCAGAGGATTGCAGTAGAAGACATCTATGCTAGCAATGGAGCTGGTGGGATCGTAATCAACAGCCATGCTTTGTAGGGCAAAAGCTAGGGTTGCCCACTTTGTCAGAGCGTCAGGCGACAGCGCCAATTCGGCGAGACGATCCTGATTGGCTTCCGTCATGACCTTGGCGAGGGCTGCTTCCCGAGTCGCGCCTTGCAATTCCAATGCTAGCTCCCGCGCCCGATCCTCAGTAATGAGATCTAAAAAATAAGAGAGATGAAGAAGACATTCCCTATAGTCTAGCTGTCGCATGCGGGCTTTTATATGGGGCGGCAAGTTGAAGGAACCCAGGAAGCGCACCTCATCTCCTTGGCTCTCCAGCACTTTGCCCACCTCGAAGGCCAGCATTGTGCCATATGAATATCCAGCCAGTGCATACGGTCCATGCGGCTGCTTTCGTTTGATGGCGGTGTGGTATGTGCTGACAACTTCCTCAATCGTCTCGAAAGGCTGTTCACCTTCGTTGAAACCTCGCGCCCGTAAGGCGTACACCTTTCGGTCCACCAGGAATTTGGCCAGGTTGAGGAAAACAAGAACCTCACCCACTCCTGGGTGAACAAGCCACAGCGGTGTCTTGTCTCCCTGAGCCTGCAGCGTCACTGCCGGGTTATACTCGTTTGGTTTATGAGGACTCTGCTGATCGCCTAGGGCGCTGGCAAGGTCGCGCACAGTGGGGTTCACCATCAAAGTAACTATAGGAATTTCCTGGGACACACTAAGGTGATCTTCAATGCACTTCTTCAACTTGATGAGTTCCACCGATGTGACGCCCATATCAAAGAGAGAGGACTGTACGTCAAACTCCTCCTCGGGCAGCCCAAGGGACTTGATGAAAAGATCGAGCAAGCGCTGCTCCAGCTCGTTCGCAGGATGAACACGGGCGGTTGCCCGATGTTGCTTGATTGCTTGAATATTATCCTCTTGATAGGTGTTGTAGTCGCCTTTCTCGAACGCCGTCTTGATCTTGGTTCGTGACAATTTGCCGAGAGCGGATTTTTGCAGTTGCGATCTGTCGAGAGGCAGCACCTGTGGTCGGGAGCCTGTGGACATCATGGCAATTTTGGAGATGGCATCGGCCGTTGTGGCTCGCGCAACAGTGTCATCAGGCGCATAGCTTGGCAAGTACACCACGCAAATGACTTCCGTGTCACCACCTGCAGGGAATGACGAAAAGCAACAGGTAAAGCTTGGGATTAGACCAGGGATTTTGCCTGGCTCATCTAGCGCAGTTTCAATCTCCTGCGGGCTGTATTTAACGCCGTTCACGATCATGGCTTCTTTGGCCCTGCCCATCATGTGGAGATTGCCTTGGTCGTCTATGGAAGCCAGGTCACCCGTCCGGAACCATCCATCGCTGGTGAACGACTGCTCGTTCGCATCTGGATTGTTGAAGTATCCCTCGAAGATGATCGGCCCCGTCAATTCAAGGTTGCCCACAGCTCCAACCGGCGCGATGGTATGGTCTGTAACGGTCGTGATTCTCATACTTAGACCCGGCATGCACTTTCCCGTGGATGCAAACTCCAGTCCTCGTTCGAGGTCGTAGCGAGGGAAATCTAGATTGTAGATGGCACCGCCGCATGTCTCGGTCATACCAAACCCTGTAGCAATCACGGTCTCGGGGGCACCGTACTGGGCAAGGAGCTTTGCCACTGCAGCACCGGTCTTGGTGACATTTGCCTCGCCACCTGAGGCGATGTACCGCAGACATGTGAGATCCCAGTCGTATGCGATGCAGCGGTCTCCGTGGCCTTCGAGGGCGGCGCGGATTCGAGCGAGGAAGAAGTTGGGCGCAAAGGTGCGGGAGACCCGATGGCGGTGGACGATGTCCAAAAAGGCGGTTGGATGTGACAAGACATCTGGCGCCTGCACATGTATCTGGTCCTTGTGTGCAAACAGGGCTTGCAAGTGGATTTCCAAGATGGCTGCAACGTGATCGCATCGGACCCAATTCAAGAATGAGGTCTCATCCGGTAGTGGCACCACCTTATATTTGCTGGCCAGCGCCGTGAAGATCTGGCCATGGGTGAGGATGACTGCTTTGGCATGGCTGGTGCTGCCAGAGGTCAGCATCAGGATGGCGATGTCGGCGGGCTGGGCGTCGCGATACACGTTACGCAGCTCTGCGGCCGGCGCGTTGTCCATCTCCAGCGACTCTACCGCAATGGGCGTGATACCATCTTGCCCTCCAAATTCAGACAGCTTAGCAGCCGTTGTCAGACAGCCAGGATGCTTAAGTGTGGTATTTAGGTGCTCCAAATGCGATATCCGCGCTGTCGGGTTGTTGGATAGCGAGGTGGACATAGCTGGGATACAGCCAGCCAACGTAACGGCCCAGAACCAGACCATGCTTTCCCAGTGGGTGTCAAAGTGAATGAGAACCACCTGGCCTTGACGGAATTCTTCTTTTCTGCATCGCAGTGCCCATGATGCCTTCTGGGCGGCCTCCAAGAGCTGGCCATAGGAGTATGACTTGGGCTTGGTGGTGTTTTGGGGTGAATAGCAGATGACATTCCCGCTACCCGGTTTGTCGGCGACTGCCTCTAGGAGGAGTGTGATATTGCTAAATGCCATCTTCCAGGCTTTCGTGCTGAACTGCTTGGTAACCCTTCGACAACGTGTGTTTAAGCGAAGGGAATGATGAACAGTGGTGAATTATATGTGGCTTGTACAAATGATGTATCTCCAATTCCCCTAATTGTCAATTCAGCTACCCACATAAGCCATGGAAGTTTCCTATAGGTACACGCTTGACCGCAATCTGGATCCGGTATTCATGTAAAGCTGCAAGGAGCCGGGGTCAATATATTTATTTCTACATTCTTTGTCACGTCTGCGCATATATCAATTCATAACCTTTCCTCCTGTCACTGGTCTCTCTCTCTCGAATCACACAATGTATGACCTAGAAAAAGTTAGTCTTCCTCCCTTTACTTCATCAGAGCCACACTGACTGATATCCAGGTCATCATCATTGGAGGAGGGCCCACCGGCCTCGCGGCTGCCATCCGCCTAGCCCAGCACAACAAGCTGAGTCCGGTCATCTACGAGCTTCGTGATCCAGATACTGCAGGCATCGGAGGATCTTTGGGGATTCCTGCCAATGGTCTGCGTTGCCTACACCGACTCGGCCTCTGGGACACGATTCTCCCGCATAGCGTCGATATCACCAAAACCATCTTACACTCCACATCCGGCAGTGTCCTGAGTGAACTTGATGTCTCCACAGAAGCAAAGCAAAAAACTGGCTTCGGGTATCTCCGGATAAATCGGGTGGATTTGGTCGAGTGTCTGCGGAACGGCACGCAGAAATACCAGATCCCCATCCACTACAACAAACAGGTGACCGGCATCAAGGAACATGGAGACTCTGTCATGGTGACCTTTTCCGATGGCACAAGTGACACAGCCTCCATTCTCCTTGGTTGCGATGGAATGCACTCGGCGGTACGCACGCTGCACGTCGATGCGGGGATTACTCCCGTGTATTCTGGCATCGCTGCAATATCATCGATCGTTGACGACGTGATAGATCGAGATCCCAAAGACGCGGGGTGTCTGCACTCGACAATTACACCTCACGGAATGCTGGCCACTGCACCGTGCGCCGCCAAGCAGGTCTTCTGGTTCTTCAGCAAGGAGGTGCCTCTTCCAGCGGGCAGCTCCTCGGCCGATGTCCGCGATGGCTGGTCACTTCACCGCCAGAAAGAGCTGGCAGACTGTCGCAGCTCACTGGCGACCGTGCTAGATTGCGTCCATGGACAGTGGGGCCAATACCTGCGCCAGCTAGTGGACACTAGCCAAGATTTGCATTTCTACCCACATTATCGCCTGCCACTGGGTGGTCGATGGTTTGTGCCCTCACCTACGCCACAGGGAACACCTCGGGTGCTGCTTATGGGAGATGCCGCTCATGCCGTGCAACCTCACGCCGGACAGGGGGTCTCCTTGGCGTTTGAGGATGTCTTACTTTTTTCCGGACTATTGGAAAAGTATGAAGGTGGTGACTATACGGACTTGGGAGAGGTGTTTGACCGGTTCGATCTGATCCGTCGCCCACGCATCCAGCGCATCAACGAGGTTGCATTACACAATGGTAGGATGCGCCGTAATCAGTCGCCGTGGGCGGTGTGGCTTAAGGAGTGGTATATGTGGATTATGCTGCACGTCAATCGGTTCTGGGGCATGTCTATGTCTGGGGTGCTGAATGGAGATATATTGTATGACGTGGAGACGGAACTGAAATAGCCCTACTTTATTTACACCCAGGTCTTGAAGCTTTAGAAGGCAAATACAGAATCCTATTATCTCTCATACCAACAATAGAAACAACCGTCAAATTACCAGATTACAATGACTATCCCAACACATCCCCAATTGGGGTGGATTGGCAAGTGTGGCTGGCATATACCATTCATTGAACCCTCACTAACACCGGATTCTTGTAGGGCTCGGAAACATGGGTAGTGCCATGGCGTCAAATCTCCAGAATTATCTTCACGCACAGGGACAACTGCCATTGCGGTTCTGGAATCGCACTGCCTGCAAAGGCGAAGCTCTAACAAGTCTTGGTGGGGTATATTGTGACTCCATCGCGGATGTGGTCAGGGACAGTGCGATCATCTTCATCTCGGTAGGCACTTCATGGTTGTCATCTTGTCTCAGACTTTTAACCACACAATTAGACTAGCAACGATGAAGCACTACAGACCATCATTACACAAATCATCTCCGCTGGAAATCTGACTGACAAGATCATTGTGGATACAACGACTGTCCATCCAGATACAAGCAAGGCTGTTTCAGCCAAGTTGACACAGGAAAATGCCTTTCTGGTGTCGGGTATGTTGGCCGACCCTGATTTTATTTTATTTTATACATTTTAAAATTCGGTTCATCACACTAATTTTCTTCAGGTCCTGTATTTGGCTCTGCCCCAATGGCCGCAGAGCGAAAGATCCTGATGGTGGCTGCCGGTTCTCATTGCCCGATACACCGAATATCCCCCTACATCAAAGATGTGATTGCGCGTGATATGCTGGAGGTAGGAGACCGGCCGGAAAAGGCATCCCTGCTGAAAATAATTGGGTAAGCGTATTCTGGGCTGCCATCTTTGAGTATCACAAAGGCTGAACAAAATACAAGGAACTTCCTTGTATCCGGTCTGACGGAGATCATCGGTGAAGCTCAAGTCCTTGCAGAAAAGAGCGACCTGGGTACTGAGGTAGTCGAGAAGCTGTTAGAAGCCCAGTTTGGACCTCTGCCGACCATGATTTCCAAGCGGTTGACCCAGGGCGTATATATGCCGCCCAAGGGTGAGGTCACCACCCAGACGCACACTACGATTATGCTGACCTCTTGAATTATAGGCACATCTCCGTGGTCGAATCTAGATCTGGCTCTAAAAGATGTTGACCACGCCATTGAATGTGGCGCTGCGGTAGGGACTCGACTGCCAGTCGGCGAAGTCGTTCTGGACCATCTCAAACGGGCCAAGGTCTTTTCCCAGGAGCAGGATCGGCAGATGGACTCTGCGGCTTCGTACGGTATCATTAGATGCGACGCGGGCCTAGAATTCGAGAACGAGTTTGTGAAAAAGAGGGATGCATAGATGTGGCGGCGATATTATGCAGCTACTTCGACATGTCCATTCTCGGTGATCTGCACTGCACTGCAATTAGCAAACGTCGATAGGTGAAGAATATGGTATTATATCCCCTTCTGCAGGACTGCAGGACCGCTCGGATGTATTTGACAGGTCACAGTTAAGGTAACAATACCGCAGATCTTATGCATTTTATATCTCTTCGTCGAAAGTAGTTGTAAGATAATATTTGGAAGCCCATGTTTTGTGATAGTATATTGTCAACCCCTACATGGTCCGGGAGTTCTCCATCACTCTCACTTGATCATCCCCGTGGAGCGATGGACTTGACTAGCCTGGCCACCTCTATCTCTGAGGCCGCGGACCTCCTGACCACCCAATCGATTGACACTCAGCAGCGAGTGAAGCTGTCACAGGCCTGCGAGAGACTTGCTGCAACTATTGACCAGCCGAATTCAAGATTAGAGAAAGCCACTATTGCGGTAACTCCATCCTGGTGTAATGATTATGAACATGCAGTGTATTGACGCCGAGTAGACAACCCCAATCGTAGCCGTCCGCGTTGCCATTGATATTGGAATCTTTGATTTTGTCCATAATTCCTCAAAAGAGGAATTTACGAGCGACGAAATTGCATCGCATGCAGGTGGAGATACATTGCTTGTTTGTAAGACAACCATTCCCCTTGCCCATAACCTACAGATAGCTGATCCAAATGGACCAGGCCGTATCTTGCGGTCATTGACAGCGTCTGGCATATTTAATGTCACACCAGCAGGGACCTACAAACCCGATCCCGTGGTGAAAGATCTTGCTCGGGGTGGCTATTTGGCAAGCCGAATCGTAATGAACTTGTAAGTCTTTATGCAAAGAAAGAGAATGAGCGAACTATTCGCCATACTAACTCTCCGCGCATCACATCAGTGACATTCACTTCCAAATATTCGCCAAACTTCCCCAATATTTACGGGAAACCCAATACAGGTCTCCTGCAAATGCCTGCGCAGGACCTTTTCAATATGTCTTTGACACAAACGAGCATTATTTCGACTGGATGAAGTCACATCCATCTCAACTCGATGCCTTTAACCGTACAATGCAGGCAGGTGTTGTACGTGACAATTCCGCGCGATGGACTGAAATATTCCCCGTCGCGCAGCGATTCCAGCAATTCACAAGCGCCAGATCTCCTGTTGATAAAGGGCTTAAACTAGTGGATGTTGGGGGTGGAATCGGCCACGAAATCCAAATTTTGCTTGAGACGCTTCCGTCCCTCCGGGGACATTTTGTCCTACAAGACGTACCTGGCGTTATCCAAAGCATGATACTGGGACTCCAGACAACCACGGTGCCCACGCAGACAGTACAGACTATGCCCCATAACTTCTTTGACCCACAGCCCGTGACAGGTGCACACGTCTACTTCCTGGGCCGTGTCCTGCACGATTGGCCGGACACTGAGGCACGGAGAATCCTGCAGCATATCCGAAACGCAATGGGCAAAGACTCCTTGCTGCTCATTCACGATCGCGTGTTGCCAGATGGTCCGGCGAAGGTCCATCTATCAGACACTATTATGGATTTCAATATGATGGCCTTGTGTTCGTCGCTGGAACGAACGGAGACACAGTTTCGAGAACTGCTCGCCTCGGTGGGACTCGACTTGGTGCGGGTGTGGCGGCCAGCCACTGCTGGTCTTCATCGACAAGCGGTTCTCGAGGCGGTCTTGGCGGAATCTCCAGACGATAGATCGTGATTGGTGGGTTGAGCTATCGTTTCAATCTGCATGATAGGTCACCAGTGTGACTCGACGCCAAATATATCGCCAAGTACCCAACAGCAGTCGTGGTTCATACGGAATCATTATGGTTGGTTGCGTGAAGGCAGTGGAGAGAGTGCCGGAATTTGTGTAATAGTTGCAAGTTGAGCTGTTGAGAAGCCGAGAACTGATTCCTGCGTTATCTAATGAACTATTATGCCATCGGGTCCAGTGCAACAATTACCCTTGTATTTAGATAGTTACTACGTGCCCCAGACTTTGCTGGATATGCAACCCACCGTAAAATTCCCGCTGACTGGTTATTAGCGCCAGTCTGTAATTTATTATTCTCTCCTGTTCGATAGTTTCGATATGATAGATTATACGCCACAGTTACTTTCTGTCTATCATACATATGATCAGTTTTCAAAATTTTAATCCGACAACTTTCTTCCTGTTATTTCATTCTTCCATAAAATATGTCGGATGTATGTGTTGAACCTGGCCGTTTAATTGCCAAAACTGAAAGCGATGTATTTGATTATAAAATCTTTCAATCTTTGTCGGAATATGTAAAAACTGATTTTTGACATTTTACTATGCTATTACTTTGTTGTTAGGGCATATATTTAAAGTTCAATGCATACTGGGAATAGGGAGGTATTTTTGTAACATTTCAAGTACCCATGTCGCTCAGCCTGTAGACATCTCTCACTTCCAATAATCTCTATACCATCAAGTCGCTCGGACCAGTCCTAGGGCTCCGTGTTCAAGATTGACGGTCATCCCATTTACAACATCAACACGGAACTTGTTAAGATCAGACTTGAGTTCCGCCTTCTTTATGCGATCGCAAGTTACCTCGCCACGTTCATCTTCACACATTGTTTCTCCGTTTAGAGCCATGTCCGTAGTGCCATCCACTTTACGAATGACTCGCATGCAGAACTCCACTGAATCGGTCACATCCTGACTACTCAGCTTTCCTCCACCAATCTCCACAGTCCCCTGGATGACTGGGATAAGATTAGCACGGGTGGGAAGGAGATTGGTAAAAATTGAAAGAGACTTACTAGGTCGGAAGAAGCTAAAGGCACGATCAAAGTTTTCTTCCTCATAATCATTCAACACCGGGCGCTCCTGACCTGTGATTTGCGCGTACGCACTAGTAACCACCAGCAGAAACCGTGTATAGGCCTCTCGGATTTTCTCCGAGTGCCAGTTGACCGCCGTCAGTTCAGTGCAGTCCCCCTTGATTGACGCACAGATAGAGGCGGCGGCAGAGAGCGCTCCGGTGAACGCCAAATGCACACCCGAAGAGAAGAGAGGGTCGATGAAGCATCCGGCATCTCCAACTATGCGGATGTAAGGACTGGCGTAGCTTGAAGCACTGTACGACCAATCGGTGGCTGATTTGACTTCCGACACGAGTGTGGCGTTTTCCAGCAGTTCAGAAATCATTGGTGCGTCTGTCATGTGCTTCAGAAAGAAATCACGAGTGGTAGGTGACGCCATCTGTTTCTTCTTGGCTGTGAAACTGGTTTGTTGCATTACCACGCCAACGGAGGTTGTGTTGTTGTGAAGAGGAATAAACCACGCCCAGCCGGATCCATCTAAAAGAGCACACAATTTTAGCGCCGTGTTTCAATATCACATCAATCTAACCATTCATAGATATATTTACCTTGTAGCCGGGGGAAGAAAGGACCTCCTTCTGCAGGCGTACCCTTTCCATACGTTCCAGCTCCCTCAAAATAACCCCAAGTCGCGATGTTCTTAAGACCTTCGTTATATCGGCGGTTTTTCATATATTTGGTGCTGACCAAACCCGCTCGCCCACTGGCATCCACCAGGTACTGGAATCGAATTGTACCGCTGGCTGTCTTGTCCTTGCGTGTCCAGGAGGCAGAAATTGGCCGTCCTTGGTTTGGATTACCATGGCCTTCCTGGCAGCCAGTGGGCAGGAACTCAATTCCATTGACTTTCACTCCGTCGAACGCTTTGGCGCCGCTAGCTCCAGCGTGTTGGAAGAGAATCTGGTCGCACTCGGAACGAATCACATTCCATGCGTGTCCACCAAATGCAAGGAAATTTGTGTCTGGATATATCAGAGTTAGTCGTGGCTCTAGGAACATCTTCATGGTAGCTTTGTACATGCTGCGGGTTTGCTATTGTAGCTGAATGAAGCTCCATTCTGCAATATGGTTAATTGACTGTCGAAACACTTTCAAGATCATGCTGACCTTATGAATGAATCCGTGGCTTTCAAACTTGTCATACACGTCAATGAATTTCAAAAATTCCCGTGTGGACGGCAACAGGCTCTCGCCAATGTGGTATCTAAATGTCCATTTAATCGTCCATTCTTCGGAAATGAGATGTGGCTTCACTTACCTAGGAAACACATCGGCTTCTAGCAAGACGGTAGAAATCCCTTCCCGTGCCAGCACTGAAGCAGCATAAGACCCTCCTGGGCCACCACCTACCACAAGCACAGTACATTCTTCCGGGATAGACATGCTGACTTGAGATAAAAACAAATTTCAAAGTTCAGGATACTGATATAGATAGTGAGTAGAACTCGAGACAGTCTGGCAGATTTTAAACCCAAAGCTAGCGGGGATTCTCTTTTTGAGACAGGGATATTCCTGTAGAATCTAAATAACTTTTTTAATCCCCGATTCCGGCTAGCTATCTCCGACAATATCGTGCTTGATCTGATCCCTAGATTGCCTGTTTTGGCGATACACCTGCCACGTCCCAAAAAAAAAAGAAAGAAAGAAAGGCAACAAAAGTAAGATGGGAAACAGATAAATCGAATCGAGATGAAATGTTAATCGTATAGCCCTTGCATAGGCTGTTGTGTTACTATGATCGATCGTAGGTAGCGTGAATGCACATTGGTCCGCGAGCTGAGAACTGAGATGCCTCATTTATAACTAGAAACACGGACGAAGAATATGATATCACAAATAAATCTGCATATAGATGGGTTGAAAAACAGAAATTGCACGATGTGAAATTTGTCTGCACAATGTTCTTCATGCAAGCCATGTGCTCTTCTTCAGCTTAGAAACAGCGGTATGCTAACATGCAGCTTCATTACTATAATTCAATACTCTGTAAGTTTGATAACCCACACGGATGACCGTTTGAAGACCTTGTAGTATACTCAATACGGACTAACCATTTCATATCTGCAAATTCTAAATTCACTGGACTTGGCTTAGCACCCTCGTATAATGACCGCACATTGGCACACCGACTCATAGATACTCTATCTTTCAATTTTTTTCAACAGGATGCTCACCCCTAAATCTGCCAAGTTGTGTCTCTTGATCTTGAAATTTGCAGGCAGATTTCCCTGCAATTTGACCTCGAAATGAAACAGCAGATATGCAAGAATGAGTCGAACCTCATCGGCTGCAAAAAAGCGACCTGGGCTGGACAAGGAAAAATAATCAATATGAATATCTAGATAGAACAGACGAGATGGCGAAAGATAAAAGAGGGAAATAACATACCAGACGTGTTTTCCATCTCCAAACTGAAGATAATGAGGATTTGTAGAGGTATACTTGAATACCTCGGGCGTTTCGGAACTCTTAGCAAGGTCATAGAATCGAAGACCATCGAATTCAAGGGGGTTCTTGATATATCTTTCATCAAATAACATGGCCGCGTTTGGTGTTAAGAGAACTGTCCCTTTAGGAATCCGAAGGCCATTCTTGAATTGAAAGTCCTTCTTGACGACCCGGGGAGTTCCGGCGTGATCAAAGCAGTTGTACCGATGGGACTCCTTGATAAAACTGTCCAGTCTCTTCATTGACTCAATCCCTTCTTTGGTCCAAGTGCCATTTTGGGCTTGAAGAGTCGATATGACCTCCTGTCGGATGAGAGTGACATATTCTGGCCTGGCGGCAAGCTCGCAGAGACATTGGACAAGAACTACGGTAGTGTTGAAACTGGCCCCGAAAGTATTGGCAGCAAGTAGCTGGGCAATGTCCAGTTCATTATGACCATTACATGTGTCCTGCTGAGACCATCGCCAGAACCAATCTGTCAAGTCCTATATGCAAGTGTTTTAGTAACGGAGATGAAACGGCCAGAATTATTTGAACTGAAATGACAGTGAAAGAAAATTGATACTCACTTCAGGCTGTCTTCCTTCCTTTGCCATCTCTTCAGACTTGATCTTTCGTTTATTAATCAGATCAAGGAATAGGCTCTGCATTTTATTCGATAGCATAACAACACGAGATGAGCGTGCCACGATACTTCCAGTAGAAGCACAAAGGTCAGCGTAATGAAAAAACCAAAAAAGAGGGAACCCCAACTAACGGCTTCAAAAAATCAGGAAAGCTCCTGATATATGGTCCCCCAATTATAATTTCGGCCGTATAATCACAGAAAAGATCGATGTTCGCTGGATTTCGGCATTCATCCCCTATCAGTAATTTTGCCACAAGTCCCATTGTAAGACGTCTGGCGATGGTATAACAATCCAAAGCATTCCAGCCGTCATCGACCTTCATGTGGTCCTTCACCTCTTGTTCGAATGAGTACTCGAGTTCCTCGCTGAAATCTAGGAAATATTGATCCGACGATCTCATGCGGCTTCGGGACCAGGTGAGGGCTTTACTCATCATTGAGCTCGGAATCTTATGAAACAATCCGGGCGCCGTAAACTTGGACTGGAAGAACTAGAGTACACTTGACAATTAGTTCATTGTGGACATGCGTTGGTAATATAGTCACAAATTGAACGGGAAATTACCGACCCTTTGTATTGGTGCTGTGGAAGACAGGTAATCATCCGGAGCATTGAGATACTCCCTGATCATTGCATCGTTGCAAATGCAGACATCCCAGCCGGTTGGTGTGGCCACTTGAAATGCAAAGTCTCCATGCTACATCCACAAAGTAAGATACCTATGCACCGTGGAAAGGTCAAGAAGAGCATATTCACCAGCTCGTATCCTTCTTGAAGTAACTGAGGGCCACATCTGCCCCAACGGCGGGCGGCCCTCCACGATTCAAATATCCCTTGTCCTCCCACGACGGGAACTTCAACCTAACATGGTGTATAAACATATCAGCTAGGTCTCAATATCAATACAGTGATATGGCAAAAGCGATCGGGAAAGTAAATGGGAAGAAAATACAAACCCATGACTGGTAGTATTGGATCCATCGACGGATCACCAATAGTAAGATAGTCGCACCGCCTAGGAAAGTGAGTGGATGATCAAATAGGATAGTAGATATTGACATTATCAATGAGATGTCCTATTACGATAGTATTTTTCCCAGGGCGATGGTGTTCATGAATTGAGGGATGTGGAGGTGGGAAGGTCGAGGAACAGCGGCCATGGCCCCACACAGGCCTTGGGATATAAACAGATCAGCTTAAGCTATCAGCAGTCCGGTGGAAGGAAGGGGTAGAAGAAATCTTGCGTTTTCTCACACCTGCAGCTAGCACCGGGCAGATCTAATATTACATGACAAATATTATTCACACGCCTGCTGAAAGTACTGTACGAGTAGTATCATTGAGATGGCCTTTATTGCTTACTATTTGATTTATCGTACCGTCAGGTAAAACCCAACCCATGGAAGGTGGGAGATGATTCGACGCTCGTTGCACTTGACAATACGTTACTTACGGGTAGCGACAAAGCCCAAGGAAAAAGCATAAGATATTTAAACTTTGGGCGACTGATATTGATAGAAATTTGAATTATAATCATAGATTCCGTATTAATCGCGATATACAAAATCTTACTCTAATTACTATTTTATGTGAACTAACTGGTAGAGTTACTACATGTCTCAAATATATATTCCAGCTTTGACAGGATGATTTAACAGATTTATAAAAATACCAACTAATAACAAGTATTAGAAGGGTTTTTTTTGTCTTACTCGCATATTTGGGATAGCCATTTATTAAATATCAAAATGTTTTGATTAGATTCAAATATTTTGTGTACTAATAATGACATTTTCTATCGAGTTGGCAAAACGCATATAAATGACAGTAATTTATTCTGCTATGTCGGTAGGTTATACGTCCATTTTGGGTGACTTTATGCAAGCATGGGCACTTGGGCAATGCCCATCATGGGCGTGCCCATGGGCCTTGGGCCCCTAGGAGGGGCCAATGGACGGGCGATGTCGCAGTCTATAGAGGTCCTTGACTAAATTGCATGTAAAGTTGTAGATTTATATATCTCCGACGCTGTAAAGCATGTGTATCTTCATGAGAAAATCTAGTAATTTTTAGGTATTTTATTTTTAGTAAAAATAAATCCGAAAAAGTCTATTATTATATTTATTTAATTATTTCCGTCTTATTTAGTCCTCTTAGTATATACATATTCATCGTCATCTCTCCGACGCTTCCGTTCCCTATATAGACGCTGGCTATCGCTTTATATAATTCTAACTATTAGATGAGATGGAAGCTTAACCGAGTCTATCTCTTGATCTAGGGGTAAGTCTTAATCCTAGAGACTAAGTAAAGTATCATAAACCTCCTTATCTATATCTATTCGGCGATTCGATACTAATATTGCAGTAGTTTAGAGGAGTTAAATTACGTCTCTTGCTCAAGTGTTTAGTTCTAGGGGAATATCTGTTGTACATTTGGTCACTTCCATCAAAAAAAAGCAACTATGTTTCAACCAATTCGTAACCTCCAGTTTTTGACCAGCATCAGCTCTAGCCATGTGATACGTGTCATTCCAGTATCGTGCGCTCCCCACAACTCTTCCAACAAATCAATCACCCATAGGGTTGACACCAAGCGATTCGTTGAATACACTTCATTTAGCCTGTGTCGGACTTGGTCGCGTTTGAGTGTATCTGACAATGTCATTTCTGCACCAGCGCTCAATAATGGTATAGTTTGGATATGCAAATAAGGAGAGTCTGATTTTGTTTGTAGTATAAGTTCAATAATATCGACTGCGAGATGGTGCGCGTAGTTCTCATTTTCCAACTGGGCAGAGATGGTATGCTGAGAGACGCCAGGCTTTCCGCATAAGCGATGAAGAAGAAGAAGGCCATGCTTTCGGAAAGCTTCGGTGAGCGACTTTGCCGCAGGATCGCTTTCCATAGACTCGTATTCTACTAGTCTCTTCTCGATGTTTCCTTCATATAGCAGATCGCGACTACCCTGGTCTACGACCACTCGGCAGTAACGACCAAGATGACCGAGAAGATAATAAAGATCAATCGAGTGGGTGGTGATAGCGTGGAACCGATGACGGGCTTGCTTCACGTATATGTCGAGAGAGCTTTCTCGATCAACAGGATGATCCACGGGGTCAAGACAGAACGAGCAAGCCATGTCCCAGTAGACATAAGTGCCCAAAGTGAGGTGATCTAATTCATCCTTTTTGGAATCATTCTTCTGTATCACCATTTCAGCCACAGTTCGAGCAATGAGGAGGTGTTCTCTTCCATAATCCGTGGGTCCCATTGCCATCCATGATGAGGACATGCCGAGCATCAAAAGTGTAAGAAATGAGTGTGACAGCGAGCTACTTTGAGTCTCGAGCTCCTCTCTCAGTGCACTAAGTGCTTTGCCCCGCTCGTCCAAGCTTACTGACATCTTGGGCTGATGAAAATACGCTTCCTGTGCTGCGCTTGCGGACTGAAGCACGTGAACCAGAGAATGAGAAACCGTGGCATATTTGAGGATTGGAAAAGAAAACGGATTGTTGCTTGGGTCCACTGATAACATCTGACTCGTTGCTTCAAGCCAATAGCGCATCAAGCGTGCATTAATTTTGATTTCCGGGTGGGAGTTGAGACAGACAGTTGTCAACGGGGAATCTGCCAGCCATGGGACTTCCATGTGCCAATCAGAGGTTTGTAGGTTGGGCTGACAGAGGGACCCTCGCCGTTGGCAGCGTACACACACAGGAAAGGTCTCATCGCATTTCACCTTTCGCTGTCGACATTCGCGGCAACCAGATCGACTCCTTTGTCGTGTGATGGTGGAATTGTCCTCGAGAGCATGACGTCCGACAGCGGGTGATGTGACAGCATTGGAAACGTGTCCCTGTGGGGCAAATCGGACTCGATACAGGGCCATAGTAGAGCCGTGAAAGGCTTGTTTTTTTCTTTTGTTTTGTTTTCTTCTCTTCTTTTTAAAGGTATTTTCAAGGTATTTTCAAAGTGTCTCTCCCCCATTAGACTCGGAGTGGCCGAAGTGGTACGTTGTTTGGAGAGAAAAGTGGAAGAAGATGCGATTGCGCTCACAATGCGGGGAAATGCCGAGAAAGGGACCTGTGATAAGCTACCGCGCACCAATTATCGCAATGGTTTCCTTGCAATATTCCATGGTTCTACCATACTTCGCCATATACCCTTATCATATTCAAGGGGAGATTCCTCAAGCCGACTGGTTGTGGAAAGGTAAGGTAATTCACTAATCAGATTGAAGATCGTCCTATTCTGGTCTAGAGAGTTGCCTTTTTTGGACAATAGGCGAGAAGAGCTACTTGGTGGCGCATACAGTACAAATATATCCCTCTATTCCCTGAGAACAAATAGTTTCATACAGAGTTGGAATTGTCGGCACATGACCAAGCAGCCGTGCCTCCAGACAATTTGTAACTGTTGGCAACTTGAACAACGGAGCCGTACGTTCCAGCAACCATGAGAAATGTTCCGGCAAGAAAGACGAATATGCACCATGCGACGATAAAGTGCCAAGCAGCATTTCGATCGCCCTTGCTTCTTCGCCAGTTATCATAGAGCCACATGAAGGCCATGGGCTGGAATGACATCATTGTACCCAATAGTGCACCGACAAGGGACACTAGGTCATTGAAGACAGGGATAGCACTTGCAATGATATATGCAGTAATAGTGGCCCCGAATGTACAACCAAGCCAGGTAGCCCAATGCCGGAAAGTGTTTGCTGTCAAATGATGGCTACCTTGAAGCAAGCGAACGAATATGTACTTGCTTGATACCTGGTATAAGATATAAGATTTGACAAACGCGGAAACTTCAAAGAGATAGAGACTCACATGGCAAAGAATGACTGTAGATGCAAGAAGACCTGGGATGGCAAGACCATATGTCACTTTCTTCATAAGAACGCCAGCTGATCCAAGCGCGGGCGATGCGACGAAAGACCCACAGTAATAGTACACCACCACTCCAATACTGAGGTATGTCCCAGTAACGATGGATTGACAGATTGTTAGTGACCTAGCATAGTGCCTAGGTTCGCGCATCTCTGCGACAATTGCAAAGAATGCGCTAGTACCCGAATACGCAAAGACCATGGTGGAAACTGCCGTTACGGCCTCTAGAAACGATGGTTTCTTAACCAGCTGGTAGTCAGTTTTCCAGGGGCCTTGCTGTGGAGCGCTAGCAGGTCTATCCTGGACACCAACAGCAATAGTAAGGGTAACGACTGGGAGAAGATCAGCAAGGGAGTTATACGCGAATTTATCATACTTACTAGCTCCTAGTATACTGAAAAGCCCGACCCAAGCAATCCAGCTTATGCGGGCTAGTGTCCGAATACTTGTCAGACAGAATGTTATAATTGCTGCAACGGCCACAAACACCGCAGTGCATGTTCCATGGGTTGAAATCGCATTCAAAGCAATCGACAAGCTGAGCAGTCCAGAGCCACTAACGAAAATCCAGTCTGATCCAGCTTTAGTAAAGATCGACAAAGACCGCAAAGTAACAGGATATCTGCATTCTTACAGATCCAGAAGGTAGTCCCGAAGAGAACTCTTCCCGTAACGCCAAACAGTTTGTAACCAACATCGTCGATAGCATAAACCTCCGGGTGGTTTAGCTTAAACGACCCCACAACAAACATCGACCAAATGGTAATTGTTGCAACGGCTAAGAGGCAGAGCACTCCGGGAATGATACCTAACACGTCGAAGGCAGCAGGAATGGATAGGACACCAAGGCCAATCATTGTTTTGGTCATGAGAATAGTAGTGGCAAACCATCCTAGCTAGATTCACGTTAATAATTTTGGAACGGAATGCGTTATGATTCAACTTGACTCACACCGCGGTAGTTGGGTCCATTCTCAGTTATATCTCCAAAGACGGCATCTGTAGTTGCGTCCCGGAAGGAGGCAGGTGGTGAAGGCGGACGATCAGAAGACTCTGGGTCTTTGGTCTTCATATTGTCAGGCATGTCTTTATTCAACGCAGACGTATCGTCGGTGCCACAGAACGTTATTTGATGAGAAACAGGGTAATGAAGTTTAAATAAGAGCGGTTTACCTTGGGTGTCTCGGGTTCTTTTGAGACTTCAATAGCCGGATGTTTTGGGACCATCCAGAGAATAGCCTTGGTACGGGTTTGTTCCCGATAAGACATACATAATGAGCACCCCGCACGCATTGATCAGTATATAGAAAAGGTTTCAACCGTGCTCTTCACGTCTCGGCAAAAAGCGACATATTTGAGGCTTCAGGGTTACCCGAAGTGTATCTCTTTCCTAATCCGGCTATTTGCCGAGCCCCGCACTCTAGGGTCTACGGTCAGACCGGTAAGTCTCCCACAGGCCTGGCACCGGGGTATCTTAACGCTGGATATAGATTGAATGCTTAATGAAGAGTGTCGAGTCGGCTTTGATGCCGGCTTTCTACGGGGGCGGCCCGAGGGATTCTTGGTCAAGAGCATATGTTCTTTTCGCCTGCTAGATTTTCAAGCGGGCGCAGCATAAAGTCGGAAAAGGGCTCAACGGACGTTGTTGTAAGTCACACAGTGGTTCTTTCTAGCTAGATACAACCCGGAGAAATAATATGACTAAGGAGATAGAATTGGGCTCAGATAGATTTAAAAACAGATTTGAAGTCTAGTTCGAGAGAACAGCTACCCGATTCTATCAACTCCTAGGCTCCCCTGTCAATGTCTTAGCATTTTGAGGATGGCATCGCTCAGAGTCAAGTCCGTGAGACTCAATCCGACACTTTTGTAAATAACGAGTCCCTCCGAGATAAATTGGTCTATATTTTGGATCTTCGAATGCGTCATACAGTCGGATAAAGCCTTTCCGCCTTTTAGGGCAATAATCTCACCCAGCTCAATGACATCCTTAGCATCAGTCTGACTTTGAATAAGCTCCCCAGAGCTCTGAAGAGCAAATTCACGATCGTCCACAAGGATGAAACCCTTTTCCTCCCCGGTGATAGGATTGCATCCAGCACTGGAGGACACGGCAAGTCTCAGTATGGAAGGATCCAACTCGATCATGTCAGGCTGCCATGAACCAACGGCGGATATGAAAGGGCACCTTCCCTTTTCTTCGGGTAGATGGATCGCCGAGAAAAGGGGTTTCGTGGATGGCGTAGTGCAAAATATGCAATCGACATTGCTCAAGTGAAGCTTGAGAATTTGCTCAAAGTCGGAGGTGGTGTTATCGACAAAATCAAAGCAACAGTTCGATTTCCAGTGGGCGAGATTTTCCTCAGACACTTTCGCAATTAGATGGTCGACCCGATGTCTGACGCGACTGACATAGGTGATTTTTTTTACTTCCGGGCCTCTCAGCCTAAGTATCAGTCGTGTATGCCACAAAGCCTGCATGCCACTGCCAAAGATGATGATATTTTCAACATTCTTTCTCCAGGAGAAAGGAACCATGGAATTCATCGAAGTGCGATAGCCAGTTACTTCCTCCGAGCTAAGAAGACCCTTCGGATTGCCTTTCCCATCGCATAGAACGATGACGCCGTGCAGAGGATCCTTTTTGCCATCCTGCCCGGGCGTAGAATCCACAGTGATCTTAGTGCCGATACTGGTGTTTGATGTAAAAGGTCTGAAGAGGATGCTTTGCCCATTAGGACGGTTGGTGACATTTGGCGTTGGCTGGTATTGACGTTCGCCACCGACGGAGAATTGTTCGAAGGTTCGTTCAATGACTTGCCGAAATTCAATTGTTTCGTCTTTGGAAAGGTTGATCAAAAGATCGTGAATCTTTTCATTGTCCAGGATTGGGATCTTAGACATTTCTGCCATCTTGTGGTTGGAAGCGTTCAGAAGGAGTCGAGAAAAGTCTCAAACAAGACAGTATCTCATGGGCTCACGGAAATCAATTGTATGAGAGACGCTAAAAAAGCCAGGCTTCTTTAAGAAAGAGTCCGGGGTTTTGTTCAAGCCATATAGCGGGCAGAGTCGATGACGAGCCTGTTATCAGCCATCTTTCGCCCGGCATGGCTTCCGAAAAAACACCTCATAGCGGGTTTATGAATGATGTACATTAAACGTGGAGTTTCAGGGATTTCTCAGTAGATCCGAAACGAGGTAGAGCCGTGGAGGACCGAAGATGATAGATGACAATTATAGTGGAGCCATCTCGCCTACTGGCCGAAAGGGGTAACTTCGCAGTCGGGTGTATGTCCCGACGTAACCCCCTGCCATAAGATTAGAACAACATATTCCGCGCTATTTCATCCAAAAATCAAAGACTTTCTACAATCACTGATGTACTAAGTCAAGATACGTCACATTGCCTAGCTTCTGAAATATACCAAAGCTACATACAAGGTCACCGGGATTTCCTCAAGACGGACTTCTAATTTTCCGAGCACCCCTGACATATGGCACGAATCACCATAGTTGGATCAGGGTAAGATTATCGCTTATTTTATTACTTAGAACGTCCACCTGGAAGATCAAAGAAATAGCTAATAGTGATGCATCGCTAGCATCATCGGCCTAGCTATAGCAGCTCAACTTTCCCGCAACCACGAGATCACAATCATCGCAAGAAACATCCCTGGAGATGATCCATCAATAGAATGGGCCAGTCCTTGGGCCGGTGCTAATTTTGTCGCGGGCTTTTGTTCTTCACCTCGTGATCGAATGATGCAACGTGATACATTTGCTGAATTATGGAGGCTGGCAATCAGATACCCGGAGTCTAGTGTGAAGATGATTCCGATGGAGGAGTTCTTCGAAGTTGAACGGACTGATGAAGATCTTTGGTATAAAGACTATGTACCAAATGTACATGAAGCACTCTATTCGTTGACCTCAAGACTCTGCTAACTGACTTTGTAGTTCCGCTTCCTGCCAAAAGACCAACTCCCAAGCGGAGCCAAAGGCGGAATAACCTGTTCGTCCACTTTCACTTAACCACTGGATGAGCGCGCTAACAATTATGAGATACCACTATTGTCCTTGACCCAAACATCTTTCTCCCCTGGCATAAAAAGAATCTCGAGACCTCAGGTGTGAAGTTCAAACGGATGAACTTCCGCTCTTTGTCGGATGCGTATCATATGGGCCAGGACGTCCTCATCAATGCCACTGGGTCTGGTCCCATGTACCTGGATGACATTAAAGATGAGAACATGGAGCTCCTCAAGGGACAGGTTATGGTCGTCAAGAGCGATTACAAAAAGAGTCTTATCCGCGATGATGGCAAGACTTACACCTATGTTATACCTCGTCTTGATGGCAACGTGATACTCGGAGGTACCAGAGACCCCGACATTCGGTAAGTTATGATATATCTACCCTTCACAGGCCTAAATACTAATAGAAATGTATTAATAGTAACACTGAGGTGGACATCGAGGTCGACAAGGATGTGAGTTATGTGACACCCCCTCCGATGAAAATAACGCTAACACCCTGAAGATTGTAAAAAGAGTCCATAGGTGCCTTCCTGGGGAGTTCTCTGAGGATCTGTCGGATTATGAAATCGTGGGACACAACGTAGGCATTCGACCGTATAGGTCTTCAGGGATGCGTATCGAGAAGGAGGTCAAAGAAGGGAAGAAAATTGTCCATGCTTATGGTACGTCGCGTGTGAATAAGAGCATTCCTAGCCCATCGAAAACTGACAATGCCCAGGTATCACTGGGGGAGGTTATATCTTTGGTTTTGGCGTGGCGCGGGAGACTGCCAAACTGGTTGATGAGTTCCTGTTTCCTGGAGGGAAAGCTCACCTATAATTTTCAGTCAATGATTTGTCGGTGAATCCTGATGTATATTGACGTCGGCGAGACAGGATATATATCAATATCAGTTGGTATCAAAGGAGGGTTGAGCTGGCGACAGACAGCTTATAGGAGATAATCTATGGACTAATGACAGAAATCGGTCTGTATGAAATGTATGGTATGGACTCAGTATACAGTCTCACAGCAAAAGTTTTAACAACACCCTGGCCCCACATAGATACCGCCTTCCTATTTAACCTACACCGCCATACGATAGTGACGCGGTATACAATATAGGCTCCATATAGCGCGTATATCTCGCGTTTCCCCCTTAATTTATCACATTCCTTCTTCATATATGCTTCTTACTCTCTTCTCTCTCACTATGCCTGCTCGCTCAGAACTTACTCCAGCCCTTCGTGAAAGGATCTGTGAGCTACACTCTGCGGTTCATTGGGGGTATAGGCGGATACACCAGAGATATCCGTGGATTTCTATCTCAACAATTCGCTATACGATCAAGAAAGAACATGAAAGACGTGATGGCGTTTCGAAACCGCGTTCTGGTCGACCTAAAAAGCTGAATACTACTGATAAAGTACGTCTTCTTGATGTCATTTCGGAGAATCCGCGGGTTACCCACGAAGATCTGCTTACTGAGGTCTCTCATAAAGTCAAAATCGACTCGATAAGACGCCTCTTGAATGCTGAGAACCTCCGAAAATGGAGGTGTAGCTGGCGTCTAGGCCTTGACAAGTCCCGCAGCACCAAGGCAATTTTGGTGCTGCGATATGGTGCTGCGAGGTGCTGCGGGACTAAGCCAATTTTGGTGCTGTTGTATGGTGCTGCGGTACCAAGTGCTGCAGCACTGTCGCAGCACCAGTTTTAGTGCTGCGCTAGCATAATTCTGCTAAGCATTACCCAAAATGGATGGATAAAATGCTGACTTATTTTAATAAATAACTGTTTTTTACACATGTATTGGCATTGGGAGGCAGTTATGGTCACTCACTACTAAGATTCGTATCAACTCACGTTCAAGAAATAGATTAAAAGCTTTAAGTACTATATAAATGTAGATTCAAAGTAAAATCAGCCCAAAACAGTATAGAATTAGTGGTTGATATTATCGAGAAGAGAATGTGCTGATATTATATGTGAGAGGAATGTGGCTGACAGGCTGAGTATTATGATAAGCGGGTTCATGGGTAGTCTGTAAAGACTAGACTGCGACAATGCCCATTAAAGTGGAGACATTTTTAGCGTCGCCAAGACATATGCGGGCACTCTTGGCAAAGTGGATATTGCCAAGAACTGGTTGTGTACATAAAATAGCCTAATAGGGTAATCTTTGCATTAATTTTGCATAATGGTGGGCGAAGGGCGTTAAATTTCAAAACGCCCACGGGCCGTGGACACTTCCTAGTGCCCATGGACGGGCGATGTCGCAGTCTAGTAAGGACAGTAAGCAAGTAATGCAAGTCACTATTTGCAGGCCGGGTGGCGAGTAAGCCCCCTAGACCGACTTGGACATACAGTAGGAGCAGAAGGGAAGTGACAGATCGCCAGATTCTCGAGGGACTCCCAAGCTCTAGTGTTTGACTTGTTTGCTTTTCAATGGAAAATTCTAGTTTCCTTGGATCGCCAATACAGTTACAAGACGAGGCAGCGTATTTTAATTAAAGTAAATCACGGTATCAAGGCTTGTACAGGAATATTGTTATTCCGAGTATCCTCCTAATATGGTCTAGTGCTTCTTGGTAGTGGGGCTAAATAATTACTTAAAGAGTGTAGGCGGTTGCACCAGTTTCGGGACGTACTGTATGGCCAGCTCATGAATATTGAAGCTATGTACTGTACGAGGGGTCGCGCGATCCTGCCAACAATTTCCTATCCCATGGGGGTGGTTGCAGTCTAGTAGACTGGAATTAGGACTTTACCTTCACTATGGTGGATAAAAGTGGGGCCATGAGTAGACTGGAATACTTTTCGTGAGTAGACTGGAAAAGCTTCTCGTACCAGGATGAAGCTCAAAATTTGTAAAGTTCTATTCTATACTATAAAGATTATGGTCACTAAATTTTAGAGTAATTGATCAAGTTCTAAAGGTGTAGTGGCTGATTGAAAATCGGAATTATTTTTGATGGGGTGCGACCGTACGAAGGGCCAGCACTCTTCAACTTTATTTTAAAATATCTATTTTAAGTTAGGATTACTTATAGATTCATATTCTAATCCATAGTATATTTACATGTTATCCTATTATTGATTTTTTCGTACAATTTAAGCTCCAGGTAGGACTGTCAAGATTATTTGGTCCATGGGATATTCATGCCTTATCCCATTATTCATGTATCATCCATTAGTGATGTCTCGTACGATTCAAGCTCTAGGCAGGACTGTCATAATTGTTGGGTCCATGGCATATTCATGGCTTATCCCATTGTTGATGCCTTGTCCCATTGATGAAGGCTTATCCCATTGAGGAAGGCTTGTCCCGTTGATGAAGGCTTGTCCCATTATTCATGTATCGTCCATTGATGATATCTCGTACGATTCAAGCTCTAGGCAGGACTGTCATAATTATTAGGTCCATGGCATATTCATGGCTTATCCCATTGATGAAGGCTTATCCCATTGATGAAGGCTTGTCCCGTTGATGAAGGCTTATCCCATTATTCATGTATCGTCCATTGATGATATCTCGTACGATTTAAGCTCCAGGCAGGACTGTCACAATTGTTAGGTCCATGGCATATTCATGGCTTATCCCATTGTTGATGCCCTGTCCCATTGTTCATGCCTTATCATATTATTGATATCTCGTACAATAGCCTTAGGCAGCAATATTTATTTTCATAGCTGTATAAGGTAACAATATTACCCAATTCAGTAATCACCTCTATTGTTGTCTAGCAGATATTTAATTCTCAGTTTTCCTCCCACTTCTCTCTTTCTCTCTCTCTCTCTCTTCCTCTTAAATTTCACTTTTATTTTGATTTTCATCAAGATGCCTTCTCTGTACGAAACCCATTCATCCTGCAGCTATATCCTATATCATCCTGCATCAATATCCTACTTCCTGCTTCTGGTGAGACCTTTGTTTAAATCAGAATATTCACTAATGCTTCACTTCGTACGATCTAGGCCTCGCCCTGCTGGCTCCCGCCCCCCTATCCTAACCTCCCCCTTAGTCCTCATGCTCGGGCACGAGCTCACACACACGAAGCTCAGGCTGCGTTTGCCAGGTTATGGGGGTTAGTTAATGGCAATATTGACCCGGTTAGTGGGTGGCCTACTGCCCTATAATGGCTGATTGAGTTTTATGAGGGGTATATCCAGACTGGAGCTGAATTTAGATGGCCTGTGACCTCCCTAGGTACTGGAGGGAATAACTCTCTCGTACGGTATGCTGGTCCTCGAGGTGGTGTTTCACAGACTCCATTTCCAGTGGGAAGCCCTCTTTTTGCCCGTTTCGTACACAGCGACGAAGGCCGCGCCTTACTTACCTTAACCGGCCATGACGTCCCGTTTATGGTTAGCCGTATTCGGGGCGCCCAGCTTGCGAGTATGCGCCCGTCGTACGTGAATGCTTTACTGATATAATCTCGTGGATGGGAGCTTATTACCGAGTGCGATGAGTGTGCTGATAAGCGCCGTCGTATAGGGAGCCCATCCCCATTCCCGATCTGCTCCCGTGCACCGGGGCATTTCGACGGAGCATGCGGTAACTGTAAGTTCCAGGATCATGGATTCCGCTGCTCCGTACGAGACGGCACTGGTAACCGGAATAGGACACGAAGAGCGGCCGCTCTCCTAGCTCGGAGCCCCCTTCCACAGTCTCAGTTAGCCATTGGGACAGCCGCCAATCCCGTCGACCTAGATGATGACGACGACGTCATCATCATTAACTGAGTAAGCATACCTTTTCTTTTTATTCCCCTATGCCCTACCCAGTCGTACGGGGCCTATGTACGACACCTGAATAAACTTACACCTTTACGTGGTGTTCAGGATAAGTAGCCTTTATGGTGAAACCAAGCAAGTTACAATAAATACAAGTTATTTCTTATGATCTTTACACTTTATTTAGAACCTGGGACTTCGTACGACTACTGTTTATTGAACGGTGTAGATTTCTCTTCTGCCCTGGGAGGAGTTTTGCATTTTTCTATGGCTTCATTCTTAGGTTCTCCAGTCTTTATTTTGCACCTAGGACTTTATACGAATGTGGGATTTCTATTCTGGTCAGTGGAGAGTTTTGTATTTTCTGTGGTGATATTCTCATATTCTCCAGTCTTTATTTTACAGTCAAGCCTACGTACGAAGGCTCTTTATCTAATGATGTGGGATTTCTATTCTGGTCAGTGGAGAGTTTTGTATTTTCTGTGGTGATATTCTCATGTTCTCCAGTCTTTGTTTTACAGTCAAGCCTACGTACGAGGGCCCTTTATCTAATGATGTGGGATTTCTATTCTGGTCAGTGGAGAGTTTTGCATTTTCCATGGCGATATTCTCCTATTCTCTAGTCTTTGTTTTAAACCTGGGACTTCGTACGAAGGCTCTTTATCTAATGATGTGGGATTTCTATTCTGGTTAGTGGAGAGTTTTGTATTTTCTGTGGCTTCGTTCTCATGTTCTCCAGTCTTTGTTTTGAACCTGGAACTTCGTACGAGGGCTCTTTATCTGATATGGGCTTTTTATTCTGGTCAGCGAGGGGTTTTGCATTTTTCTAGGTTTAGGCTTATATTCACCATACTACATTTAAACTCGACCTTTGCCTAGCTACTCTGGCTAGAAACAACTTTAAGTAAATCCAGCCTTTCTTATACATTCTTATTTATCTCATTATGGCTTCCGCAGCTAGTGCTGGTCCTCCTAGAGGACCTCCTCCCCCTCCCGGATCACTTGTTCGTACGCCAAGTGACCCTTCCCAGGTTACTCCTACCGCTTCGACTCTCTTCAGCCTTATACGAAGGGCGACTACAGCAGAAGGGGGTGCCGAGTACTATATTGTCCGACTGACTGCTCATGGGAATGCGGCGCTCCGAGAGCTCTGCCGTACCCCAGAGCAGCGCGAGGTCTGGTCGTGGCCGTCGTACGAGTTCCTCGTGAAGATAAAGAAGGACCGAACTCCAGTCTAGACCTTGCCAACTCCCATGGGACTAAGAAAATTTTGGTCCCATATCCTGGTCCCATCTACTCCCATGGGACTAAAAAAATTCCGGTCCCATTACCCTAGTAGTCCCATGGGGGTCCCATGGGAGTTATGGGACTCCCATATGGTCCCACGCTAGCATAATTTTGCCAAGGATTTCCTATTTCAGCTGCACAAAACTGCAAAGTAATCAGATAAAATACTGTTATTTACAGGCGTATGAGTGTCCCTACTTTCAATGTCTAACAATATGGTTTTGTTATATGACATAGTCCATAATAGAGTTAACAAATGACTCAAGTATATATCAAAAAGCATCTATCTTCAAAAAAAAAACTTCATATACTAGATTGTGGTGGCTTTTGGGCGCAAAGGAGATTTAAACATAGTATTAGAAGGAAGTGGTTAAGCAAAATATATATTTACAGAGAGGTACTACACTACATTTTCTACATATTATTTAGAAAGTATAAATTTGACAAAGATTTTAACAAATTATATTTAATTCCCGCACCATAAGAAACCTTACCTCTAAATTAGTTATATTCACTTTAGAATAACTATTCATACTACGTGGTTATTGAGTAATTTCGGGATAAAGAAGGCTTAAAAGTGAGAATTTTCCCCTTAAAGTTGTGGGGGATTGTAGATACCCCTAAATCTAATCAATTTCCCTTTTATATGGGAGTCCCATGGGAGTCCCACGGGAGTCCCGCGGGACCCCCATGGGAGTCCCGTCGAACAGACCAATAAGTAACATATAATAAGTGGGTACTAGCCTATTTGTGATGTATCTTCGCGCTATTACTCGTTTAAACTCTACTAGTAGCCGAACGTGACTCTCGCGACTGTAAAGGTAGGTGTTAGAGATATGCTTTTTAAACCCTCTTCTAGTTCAACAGAATTGTTATTCTAGTATGTCGCAATACGAACTATACGCTGAGGCTGGCCCTTCATCCCAGATCACATTGTCCCACGCCGGAATTCCTCCACCTTCTTCAGTCTATAGCATTGGCATTATTGATGACCCCCTTACGCCAGATCATTTAATTAGCCAGCAGCCAATCTATAGCGGACCAGAATCCTCAATCCTCTAAATAGAGCCGAATCCGATTCCTCCAAATCTCCGCCGTATCGGTCCTAAACATCAAAAGTTCTGGGTTCTTTGGACTACAATGAATAAGACCGACTTCGTTGAGTGGTGGCGCCATACGGCAGGTGCTCACCCACACCCTCCGCTTCATAAAGTGAACTTTGAAGCAAGGTATACCTCTGCTACTTGGGAGCACTTTGACCAAGTAGCACACTTTTAAACCGGGAAACCAATGGCACTCTGTCGGAGGTGTGGAAAAGCGCTCTCGCACCCATCCTCGACATTAAATGGTTCGAAGTCACTTACTGCACATTTATCTAGCCGCGCATGCATAGTTGCCTCGAAAAAGGCTTCAACACAACAGGATATACAGCAATCGCTCGAACTTGCGGTATTATATACGTCCGATTCTACATTCTATCGATTTGATACTAATATCTATATTATATTTAGTCTACTCGTACGCCTACCCGAAAAGTCTTTGACCAACAACGATTTGAAAGAGCCTAAGTCAAATTTATAGCGAACTCACGCCTTCCATTTCAGATCCTCCGGCATAAAGACTTTGAAGATCTAATTACAGAGGCTCAGCTTTCTTAATAAAAACTCACCCTTCTATCACCAAAGACCGCGCGGCGTCGGCTCCAGTCAATCGTCCATACAGAGCAGCAAAAGCTCCTTTCTCTTCTCCCAGCCGGAGCGAAGCTATCAATTGCCCTTGATTGTTAGACCTCACCCTTCTAACAGGCATTCATGGCAATCACAGGCTATTTTGTGGATATCAATTGGGATTATCATGAGATACTTCTAGGTTTCATGCTAGTTCACGGCCAGCATACAGGCTCCTATCTAGCAGACGTTCTCCTTGAGGTTCTTCAGTAACAGCAGGTTACTAATCGAGTGATTGCGATTACTACAGACAATGCGTCAAATAATAAGACCTTAGTCGATAGTCTATGTGATTCAATCGAACGGTTAGAGCTTCCTAATTTCACTGAAATTGTACGGATTCCATGTCTTGCTCATGTGATTTAATTGAGTCTGAAAGATCTCCTTGGCCTAATAAAGGCTGATCCAAAAAACGACAAGACAGCAACAACATGGTCGGAAGAAAACGGGAGTGTTCTTCAACAGGCAAAGAGACAGAAGGGAATCATTTATACGCTAGCTAAGGTAAAGTAACTAATGCCTTTAACAATTTTATCTAATACTAACTACTATACTGCCAGGTACGGGCCTTCGCAGTTTTTATTAATGCCAGCCCACAGCGACGGGAGGCATTTCTAAATCTTTAAAGCGAAGAACCGAGGCTTACCCCGATCCAGGATGTACGCACTCGGTGGAATTTAACATATCTTATGCTCCAGCGCGCCAATCGCCTTTCAGATAGCTACCAAAGATATTACGCAGAGCATCAGCGCCCCGAATTCCGGCTTGGTAAAAGCGAATGGCGGCAGATCGAATACTTACTCCATATCACAAAGCCTTTCTACAAATGGACGGTTGGCCTATCAAAGATTAAGGCGACAACAATCCATGATGTGTTCCGGGTCTATAACCGACTATTTACCCATTTTGAGCAGGCCCAGGCCCGACTTCGGCGAAAGAAAGTGCCTTGGAAAAAGGCTATGCTTAAGGCTCTTAAGGCCGGAAGTAAGAAACTCTCGGTATACTATAAAGCAACTGAGCAAGCACATGGCAGCCTATATGCAATTGGTACAATTCTTGCACCTCAGCATAAACTTGAATTCTTTAAAGGACCAGAGTGGGCAGGTGAAGTCGATAATATGGATTCCTCCTGGCATGACATATATGAAAAGTCTCTTCATAATCATTTGGAGGATTACTCAAAACGCCAGCCTAAAAAGCAAGTGCTTATAAAGGCAAAGTCCTCCTCGCATAGCACGGATGCAATGATGAGCCTCTTCGAGGAGGATCAACCAGAGCCACCACCGCAGCCGAAGACTGGGTGGCAAGAAGAACTTAAGGGATATCTTAATACTGGTATGTTTAGATGATCATGATTATAACTTAACTAAGCTAATTATATATAGAACGGAGCATAGTAAACCCATGCCATTTCTGGAAAGAGAATGAGTATAGATTTCCGATACTCGCAGCGGTTGCACGGGATGTCTTTTCTATCCCAGCTACTGGCGCCGGTGTTGAGCGCCTCTTTAGTACTGCTCGCGATATCTGCCATTATCGACGAGGCTCATTGAACGAAGTAACAATACAGGATTTGATGATGCTTCGTTGTTTATCCAAATTTGATATTGAAAGTGAGGAAACTGGGGAGGATTTCCAACCTGAGGCTACCTTAAATCAGGACGAAAGGACTGAGGGTGATGAGGTAAGGGAGGCGGGACTTCCTGAGTGTATACCAGAGGCAATTAGCGAGGGTGAGGACGGTGATAACTCAGATGAAGCAGGAGAGATTGTTACCGATCAGGAGGCCGCTGAGGAGTCAGATGATGATTCGGCACTACATCCATTGCCTGCCATCGATACTACAAGTCAGGCACGCCCCCAAAGAGATCGTAAGCGGCGTAGGGATGAAGATCTATACGAGTATACTAGATAGTTTAATCACAGGATACTATAATTACACTACTTTTTGAGAGGAATTAATCCAGAATCATTCAATGCTACCTCCCACTGTAAGCTAAATACCCATTAATACAGGGCATTTCTGCATATCTTATGCAGGTCACGTTTTTCTACGTGTTTGCAGTGTTTACAGTCCCATGGGAGTCCCATCAAAGTCCCATGGGAGCGGACTAGCACCTCACTCCCATCTCTTGGCACTCCCATGGGACCATATGGGAGTCCCATCTACTCCCATGGGAGTGGTCCCATGGGACCAAATGATGGGAGTTGGCAAGGTCTACTCCAGTCATCTCGGCTGATTAAGTACGTTAATATTCTTTAGGTTAATACCAGCCACTAATTCTTAATCTGGACAGATCCGCAGTGCACGGCCGTCGTACGTCAATGGACTCTTAATCGCTTCTCGTGGAGTTCGTTTCCCAGGCATATGCCATCGGTCTCGCTAAGGCCACCCATTTAGTAAATCTGTCGTACGATTACCTAGTACCTAGGAGGGATGCTGTGCTAATTATAAGTGGAAGGAACAGACAGCGCAGTGCAATGTACGAAACTCTAACGAGCCGCGATACATCCCGCAGGCGTCTGCTCCTCTACCACCCCTAAGCCGGGTTAAGGAGCTGACCGACTCGGACGAAGCTAATGACGATAACGGTGCTAGTGGTACTGCTACAGCAGTATAGATCGGGATCGTACGATAGGTATATTGGTGGTACTGGCAGCTTAGGTGAGGGGATAGGGACAATACACTAGGTAGTCAAAGTAGGAAGTTTTGGGCTTAGGATTTAAGAGTTACAGAGTCAAGGTATCGTACGAATACAAATTTAGGTACACGTTATCTAATCCTCCACATCCTAGGTCCCGATATACCAAGTTATTAATATCGAGATTTATCCTTTAATTTAATTATTCACCGATTCCATATATACTCCGTATAATCCTTTTAAGTTTAATCCTATAGGAGATATATATTTTATTATAGGTCCTCCACGTGAACTTCTTGGCTATTCCCCCCTTTCTAGCGCCAAAAAAAAAAAGGCTATAGCTTTAGACTTATAAATACCCTACTCAGAAGTGGATTTTATCTTTCGTACGATTTTATATAAGGGACAGCCTTTAGAGCCTATCCTTAGCTATCACTATTGCGATGGCAGAGACCAGCCCCATAAGTCCACAATTTATCTCACTCGTACCCCGATTTCCTCTAGTGGTTTGTCAGTCCTATCAGGTAGCCGTACGACTAAAGCAGATCACCTACCATCTTACCCACGATCCTCATCGGGTTTCTCTACGCCACGCCCAGGAGGCTGCGGCGACCATAGGAATATGGGAAGGTATCTCGTCCGATCCAACCACTCTACAGTACCCTCTAAGTGTCCAGGACCTAATCTAAGCTCTATCTATCTATACCGACGGCATGCTATGTACTGTGGCTACCGACTGTCAGTATGTCTGTCGTAGCCTGAAAGCGATGAAGGAGCACTGGCGGATAACGCATAGATTCTCTGTCCGTACGAAGCCTAGGCACCCTCGAGCTCAGCACCAGCAGAGAGCTAGAGATCTCCTTAATCGATCCTGGCAGCAAGTGACCTGTCAGCGGTTCTTCGTACGAGGGGCAGGCTCATCATACTTTTAGGTGCAGCAGCCTGGGATCACCCATTTACCGCAAGCGCCACCGATCCCATCCAGCCAGGCCGAGGAGATTGTACGACAGGTCGAGCAGCGCTATACCGAGGCCCTCTCGACGGTCGAGCATACCGTCGAGGCGGGCCAGGTCGATGACGCTAACCCATGGCTTCGCCGTACGCAGTGGCCCACGTATCTCCGGGGCATTCTAGTACCGCCCCTCCTTCAGTCGCTCGAGACTCCGGCGCCCGAGGGGGCAGAGAACGAGGCTATCGTACGAGTGATTTAGGACGTGATGGGCTCTGTCGCGGCTATGAGCCAGCGTATCACCAAGCAGTGCGGTCACTTTGCCCGGACCGAAGCCGCTCGTACGGAGCTAGACTTCCGCAGAACCCAGTACTGGGTCGAAACCTTCAACCCAGAACCCAACCCAGTACTGGGTTGGGTCGAAACCTCATAACCCGGACCCAACCCGGACCCAGTACTGGGGCCCCAATAAACCCAACAATAACCCAGTTGGACCCAACTTTAGCATAAATTCTGGCATAAACCTAGACCTTGCCAACTCCCACCATTTGGTCCCATGGGACCACTCCCATGGGACTAGATGGGACTCCCATATGGTCCCATGGGAGTGCCAAGAGATGGGACTAGGGTACCCAGTCCGGTCCCATGGGACTAAGATGGGACTCCCATGGGACTGTAAACAATGCAAACATGCAGAAAAACGTGACCTGCATAAAATATGAAGAAATGCCCCGTATTAATAGGTATTTGGCTTACAGTGAGAGTAGAGTGCGCGGCAAACCTAAACCATACTTTCTATAACCAGGATTTCTGACCGCGGTCAGAATATATGCTTATTTAGTTATTATAGGCTTTTGACAGCCGTTAGAATATATACTACATTTCTGACCGCGGTCAGAATGTATGCTTTATAGGCTTTTGACAGCCGTCAGAATGTATACTGCATTTCTGACCGCGTTCAGAATATAGGGTGATATAGAATCTAATGATTAAACTATCTAGTATACTCATATATATCATTATCCCTACGCCTCTTGCGATCTCTTTGGGGTCGAGCTTGACTTATACTATCAATGATAGACTGCGACATCGCCCATGGACGGGCGGGTGGGCAGTGCCCACGGGCCTTATGTAAGCGGGCGATGGGCACTATCCATACGCCCATGGACGGGCCCTACCCTTAGGGCCCATTGTCCATGGACACCGTGGGCGCCCATGGGCCTTTTTAGTAAGCAGAATTTCTTGACCTCGTGACCTGCATTATTTGTGCATTTTTTTCTCTGTATTTTTGAGTAATTCGATTACATGTACAATGACTTGATACTACTGTCAATTTTCTGACCGAGGTCAGAAATGAGCTTTAGAAGCCTTTATATAATAACTTGATACATTGTCACTTTTTTGACCGGGGTTAGAAATGAGCCTTGGAAGCCTTTGCATAATGACTTAGGTATTCATTATATTCATACATTCACACTAATACGATACAAATTGATCATCATTGGGTTTGCCACGCTTCCTTGCTTCTCTTAAACCAGGGCGCTTTTGAGTGCTACCCTTATCTCCATAATGAGGGAGATGAGGACTACTCTCATCTTCGCTGTCGACTAGCTCACTTCTCTGTCGCTTCCGCGTACTTAGCACTATAGAAGGACGAGGAAGCTGACTCTCCATTATAAACTCATGCTCGATCAGTCTAACAGGATCATTATCCTCGGAATCCTCACCATCGCTGATTAGTTCAGGCATGTCAGTGGTAAGCTCAGCCTCTCTCTGTTCGTCTGCTTCTTGCATTGAATCTAAGGACGTATCCTCATCGGGTAGTTCTTCTATTTTAATGTCGAACTGGGTTTTACACCGGAACATCATGATATCCTGGACTGTCTTCGCACTCAGCCGCCCACGTCGGTAGTGGCAGACATCCCGTGCTAAATTGAAAAGACGTTTAACTCCAGCGCCTGTTATAGGAATAGAGAGAATGTCGCGAGTAACACTGGAAAGAATTGGGAATTCATTCTCATATTCCTTCCAGAATTGTAAAGGATCGACCTTTCTCCTTACTATCATAGGTATTAGTATTCCTGCTCGTAATAACAGTGAATATAACGTACGCTTTTTAAGGTATCTAGCAAGTTCGTGCTCCGACGTTAATGGATCAGAGTGGATGTGAGGCAGAAGGTCAAGGAGGGCGTCTAGGTCACTTATACTGGCTGAGTGACGCTTAGGGGGTTACTCTTCTCGTAGGGACCGTGTCTAAGTGTGTCTTTAGGCGTAAGGAGCTATGAACTGGCGAAGCGTTTCCTTATACTGATCACTCCAGTTTATGTCGTTCTCCGATGTACCCCACGCCTTACTTAAGAAGAAGTGAAGCTTATGCTGGGGTGTAAGAATTGTTCTAATCGCGTAGAGACTACCATGGATCTCTTTCGTCTTTGTGTAGTAAGAGGTAAGCTTTGCCATCCCAGCATTGAGGGCTTATAGCATCGCCTTCTTCTAAGGTATGGTTTTCGGAGTGAGTCGTGTAATCGATTCCTCGAAGTGCTTAAAGAGGGCGTTATAAATACCAAAAACATGGTGTACTGTTATCTCTTTAGTCTTTGAAAGCACTGTGGTAAAGCTAGACCTTGCCAACTCCCATCATTTGGTCCCATGGGACCACTCCCATGGGAGTAGATGGGACTCCCATATGGTCCCATGGGAGTGCCAAGAGATGGGAGTGAGGTGCTAGTCCGCTCCCATGGGACTTTGATGGGACTCCCATGGGACTGTAAACACTGCAAACACGTAGAAAAACGTGACCTGCATAAGATATGCAGAAATGCCCTGTATTAATGGGTATTTAGCTTACAGTGGGAGGTAGCATTGAATGATTCTGGATTAATTCCTCTCAAAAAGTAGTGTAATTATAGTATCCTGTGATTAAACTATCTAGTATACTCGTATAGATCTTCATCCCTACGCCGCTTACGATCTCTTTGGGGGCGTGCCTGACTTGTAGTATCGATGGCAGGCAATGGATGTAGTGCCGAATCATCATCTGACTCCTCAGCGGCCTCCTGATCGGTAACAATCTCTCCTGCTTCATCTGAGTTATCACCGTCCTCACCCTCGCTAATTGCCTCTGGTATACACTCAGGAAGTCCCGCCTCCCTTACCTCATCACCCTCAGTCCTTTCGTCCTGATTTAAGGTAGCCTCAGGTTGGAAATCCTCCCCAGTTTCCTCACTTTTAATATCAAATTTGGATAAATAACGAAGCATCATTAAATCCTGTATTGTTACTTCGTTCAATGAGCCTCGTCGATAATGGCAGATATCGCGAGCAGTACTAAAGAGGCGCTTAACACCGGCGCCAGTAGCTGGGATAGAAAAGACATCCCGTGCAACCGCTGCGAGTATCGGAAATCTATACTCATTCTCTTTCCAGAAATGGCATGGGTTTACTATGCTCCGTTCTATATATAATTAGCTTAGTTAAGTTATAATCATGATCATCTAAACATACCAGTATTAAGATATCCCTTAAGTTCTTCTTGCCACCCAGTCTTCGGCTGCGGTGGTGGCTCTGGTTGATCCTCCTCGAAGAGGCTCATCATTGCATCCGTGCTATGCGAGGAGGACTTTGCCTTTGTAAGCACTTGCTTTTTAGGCTGGCGTTTTGAGTAATCCTCCAAATGATTATGAAGAGACTTTTTATATATGTCATGCCAGGAGGAATCCATATTATCGACTTCACCTGCCCACTCTGGTCCTTTAAAGAATTCAAGTTTATGCTGAGGTGCAAGAATTGTACTAATTGCATATAGGCTGCCATGTGCTTGCTCAGTTGCTTTATAGTATACCGAGAGTTTCTTACTTCCGGCCTCAAGAGCCTTAAGCATAGCCTTTTTCTAAGGCACTTTCTTTCGCCGAAGTCGGGCCTGGGCCTGCTCAAAATGGGTAAATAGTCGGTTGTAGACCCGGAACACATCATGGATTGTTGTCGCCTTAATCTTTGATAGGCTAACCGTCCATTTGTAGAAAGGCTTTGTGATATGGAGTAAGTATTCGATCTGCCGCCATTCGCTTTTACTAAGCCGGAATTCGGGGCGCTGATGCTCTGCGTAATATCTTTGGTAGCTATCTGAAAGGCGATTGGCGCGCTGGAGCATAAGATATGTTGAATTCCACCGAGTGCGTACATCCTGGATCGGGGCAAGCCTCGGTTCTTCGCTTTGAAGATTTAGAAATGCCTCCCGTCGCTGTGGGCTGGCATTAATAAAAACTGCGAAGGCCCGTACCTGGCAGTATAGTAGTTAGTATTAGATAAAATTGTTAAAGGCATTAGTTACTTTACCTTAGCTAGCGTATAAATGATTCCCTTCTGTCTCTTTGCCTGTTGAAGAACACTCCCGTTTTCTTCCGACCATGTTGTTGCTGTCTTGTCGTTTTTTGGATCAGCCTTTATTAGGCCAAGGAGATCTTTCAGACTCAATTGAATCACATGAGCAAGACATGGAATCCGTACAATTTCAGTGAAATTAGGAAGCTCTAACCGTTCGATTGAATCACATAGACTATCGACTAAGGTCTTATTATTTGACGCATTGTCTGTAGTAATCGTAATCACTCGATTGGTAACCTGCTGTTGCTGAAGAACCTCAAGGAGAACGTCTGCTAGATAGGAGCCTGTATGCTGGCCGTGAACTGGCATGAAACCTAGAAGTATCTCATGATAATCCTAATTGATATCCACAAAATAGCCTGTGATTGCCATGAATGCCTGTTGGAAGGGTGAGGTCTAACAATCAAGGGCAATTGATAGCTTCGCTCCGGCTGGGAGAAGAGAAAGGAGCTTTTGCTGCTCTGTATGGACGATTGACTGGAGCCGACGCCGCGCGGTCTTTGGTGATAGAAGGGTGAGTTTTTGTTGAGAAAGCTGAGCCTCTGTAATTAGATCTTCAAAGTCTTTATGCCGGAGGATCTGAAATGGAAGGCGTGAGTTCGCTATAAATTTGACTTGGGCTCTTTCAAATCGTTGTTGGTCAAAGACTTTTCGGGTAGGCGTACGAGTAGACTAAATATAATATAGATATTAGTATCAAATCGATAGAATGTAGAATCGGACGTATATAATACCGCAAGTTCGAGCGATTGCTGTATATCCTGTTGTGTTGAAGCCTTTTTCGAGGCAACTATGCATGCGCGGCTAGATAAATGTGCAGTAAGTGACTTCGAACCATTTAATGTCGAGGATGGGTGCGAGAGCGCTTTTCCACACCTCCGACAGAGTGCCATTGGTTTCCCGGTTTGAAAGTGTGCTACTTGGTTAAAGTGCTCCCAAGTAGCAGAGGTATACCTTGCTTCAAAGTTCACTTTATGAAGCGGAGGGTGTGGGTGAGCACCTGCCGTATGGCGCCACCACTTAACGAAGTCGGTCTTATTCATTGTAGTCCAAAGAACCCAGAACTTTTGATGTTTAGGACCGATACGGCGGAGATTTGGAGGAATCGGATTCGGCTCTATTTGGAGGATTGAGGATTCTGGTCCGCTATAGATTGGCTGCTGGCTAATTGAATGATCTGGCGTAAGGGGGTCATCAATAATGCCAATGCTATAGACTGAAGAAGGTGGAGGAATTCCGGCGTGGGACAATGTGATCTGGGATGAAGGGCCAGCCTCAGCGTATAGTTCGTATTGCGACATACTAGAATAACAATTCTGTTGAACTAGAAGAGGGTTTAAAAAGCATATCTCTAACACCTACCTTTACAGTCGCGAGAGTCACGTTCGGCTACTAGTAGAGTTTAAACGAGTAATAGCGCGAAGATACATCACAAATAGGCTAGTACCCACTTATTATATGTTACTTATTGGTCTGTTCGACGGGACTCCCATGGGGGTCCCGCGGGACTCCCGTGGGACTCCCATGGGACTCCCATATAAAAGGGAAATTGATTAGATTTAGGGGTATCTACAATCCCCCATAACTTTAAGGGGAAAATTCTCACTTTTAAGCCTTCTTTATCCCGAAATTACTCAATAACCACGTAGTATGAATAGTTATTCTAAAGTGAATATAACTAATTTAGAGGTAAGGTTTCTTATGGTGCGGGAATTAAATATAATTTGTTAAAATCTTTGTCAAATTTATACTTTCTAAATAATATGTAGAAAATGTAGTGTAGTACCTCTCTGTAAATATATATTTTGCTTAACCACTTCCTTCTAATACTATGTTTAAATCTCCTTTGCGCCTAAAAGCCACCACAATCTAGTATATGAAGTTTTTTTTTTGAAGATGGATGCTTTTTGATATATACTTGAGTCATTTGTTAACTCTATTATGGACTATGTCATATAACAAAACCATATTGTTAGACATTGAAAGTAGGGACACTCATACGCCTGTAAATAACAGTATTTTATCTGATTACTTTGCAGTTTTGTGCAGCTGAAATAGGAAATCCTTGGCAAAATTATGCTAGCGTGGGACCATATGGGAGTCCCATAACTCCCATGGGACCCCCATGGGACTACTAGGGTAATGGGACCGGAATTTTTTTAGTCCCATGGGAGTAGATGGGACCAGGATATGGGACCAAAATTTTCTTAGTCCCATGGGAGTTGGCAAGGTCTAGGTAAAGCGATAGAACGGCTCTGTGATATACAGAAGGTAGTCGACCTGCCGCCATTCTGCCTTACTGAGTTTATATTTCTGAGTCCTAATGTTATCACAGTATTCATCGCAGGGCTTACTAAGGCGTTTCGCACGACGAAGCATTAAGAAGGTAGAATTCCAGCGGGTGCGGACATCTTAGATAGGCGCAAGTTTTACTCCATTGGTCTGGAGACGGAAGAAATCATCGCGACGTTAGGGGCTTACATTAATGAACACAGCAAGCCCTCGAATCTAGATAGTTATTAGATATATTAAGTGATAAAGAAAGTGATACACTTACCTTGACAAGGGTTTGTATAATGACTTATTCACTCTGTGAAGCACGGAGCGATCGAGCTTGGGCTTGGGCTTAGACATCTGAAACATTCCGATCTGTGGTATCGTTCTGGGGATCGGCCTTCACCGATCTAAGTAGCTCGCGAAGGCTTAGCTGGATAACATGTGCAAGATAAGGGATTCGAATAACCACCGGGCTATTCGTTAGTTTAAGGGAGTCAATAGAGTCTTAAACTGCCTATACTAAAGTTATGTTATTTAACGCGTTATCTGATGTAATCGCTAACACACGATCAGTAATATTAAGCTTCTTAAAGATCTCCATAAGTACTTCACTTAGATTCACACCAGAATGCGCCCCATTAAGTGGTTCGAAACCAAGTAGGAGCTCACGGTAATTCCAGTCTCGGTCGATAAAGTACCCTGTGATTACCATGAATGCCTGCTGAAAAGGCGATGTCCAGCAGTCGAGGGCGATTGAGAGCTTCGCATCTTATGGTAAGGTAGCGAGAATTATATGTTGCTCCTCGTCGACTAATTTCTTAAGCCGGCGTTGAGCAGTGCGAGGATGGAGTAAAGTGGGTTCAGCTGGAGCCTTTTGTGCCATTCGAATCAAGGAAGCAAATTACTTCCTCTTAAGTATCCGGAAAGGGAGGTTCAGACTGGTAAGACATTCAATCTGCTCTCTTTCCCATTTATCATTCGAGAATTTTGAGTTAGAAGATAACTCCAGTGCCTAATATATAATATGTTAGTTATCTTAAAGGGTATAATCATATAAGACTTACCGGTATATGCTGCATAGTCTCCTTAATCGACTGTTATGTAGACTTACTTTTACCACCCTTTTGGCATTTACCTAAGGCTAGATGCCGCTTAAGTGTATTGGTGCCGCTTTGCTTTGTACTTAGATGAGGCAATGTAACCCCACACGTCCGACACATGACTAAAGGTTCGCCTGTAATATGATGTGCTACCTGGTCGAAGTTCTCCCAGACATCTGATATGTGTTTTGCATCCCATCGTAGCCTTTGTTGTGTCTCAGTACTGCTGCCGCGTACTGTGGTACGCCACCACTCGATAAACTTTACTTTAGACGCGGTGTTCATCGCGTCGTAGAGGATAAACTGCTTTCTCCGATCGGGGCCGACGCGTTTAAGAGAGTAATCAAGAATAGCCGGTTGAGTGAACTCGGACTCTATCAGTGAGATAGAAGTCTGTTAGCTGTTAAAGAGACTGGGATTAATATTTAGATTAAGGTTAGGATTAAATATATCGGCGACGTAGGAGAGGTCTGGTTAGGAGCTCGGAGGAAGTGAAGAAGGCCCTGCGGTATAGGCACTAGGTTAGGACATGGTTAATGTGATGTAAGGGATAATATAACGACTATAGGAGAGTGAGTGATCTGAACTTACAATAGGTAACTTACGACCGTGTGAAACGAGGATTACTAGTAAAAGGGGTGCTTTATATAGATCTGATAGATCGTAAATTAAGTGTAGACCCACTATATGTTATAAGCTGATTGGCTATAAGTGTCTTTATCCATGGGCATGCCCGTGGGCACGCCCGTGGGCACGCCCATGGGAACATACCTAAACGCCCATCTTAAGTTATAATCGAAGGATTTAAAACTCCCAGAATAATAACATAAGT